TGTGTGTGTGTGTGTTGGTTTGTGTGTGTGCGTGCGCGCGCGTGCATGTGTGTGACAGAGTGGATCTGTTGGTCTCCGTTTGTCTGCATCTGCGTGTTTACATCTCACAGGTGTGTTGTGTGTCCACCTGTGTGACTGTAATTTTCCATGTGTGTGTATATATATGTCTGTGTGTGTGTGTGTGTGTGTGTGTGTGTGTGTGTGTGTGTGTGTCTCAGCAGCCATCTCCCTAGCTCTTATTTGGTGCTTGGGCAGGTCCATTGAGCGATGGCCGGGCGTGCGAGTAATTGCTGATTTGGTTGGCCAGTCGATGACACAGAGAGAGAGAGAGAGAGAGAGAGATGCACTGTGAGTCCGAGCAGAGATAGAAAAAAAACACACACATCACTAAGATACACCTGCCATGACACACACACCCTGCTGAGAAAAATATATATACCTGCAATAATACACACACACACCACTCTCCCTCTATCTCTTCTTCTCAGCCGACCCACATAGTTGTATATTAGACCTCAGTCTTCATCATTTACGGTCAGTGTGTGCTACAGCTAACTGGCTAACAATGCTAACAGTTCCCATCTATTAAATCTATTAAAATATTGGCTGTCCAGTGGCAGCAGATTCAGATCATTTTGTTAAAAAGAAGGAGATAATAGGTTAAGTAGCTGGTTTTAGCTACTTGACCCAGTCTCTCTAAATGCTGCAGACTCATGATGTTTTCTTCTGCGTTGTATTGCTGACTTGAGCTGCATGACACTCAGGCACATGAGAGGGAGGATGAGAGGAAGAAGAGTGCTTTGAGGTGGAAAGAGGAGTCAGGAGGAGAGGATTTCTCTGAAATCAACTCTGAAGCTGAGATTTTACTAAACAACAATTCCTTTAAACTTTTCTTAGATTATTTTTCTGAGTTTTTTTTATCGTGATAAAACACTTTATTATTTATTTGCATAGAAGGAAAGTAAATAAAATAGTTGATATATACAGATGCAAGAAAACGGTAAAATCCCACAAATAGAGAGCAAATAATATTGTGAATTCAGTAATGGGTCACAACTCTGGGTGGCCATATTACTGAAATCATTACAGTTTCTGAGCTTTAGCGTCAGGATAAAGGAAAAAGAGAAAAGAAGTATATATGATTTACTTTAATAACTGTATAACCTCAAATCCCAGTGCAGGATTGAGCCAGTGTTTCTCCATAAGCACAATGTTAAAATAAGTTCTCAGAGTTTGATTGAAACTAAAACAGTTGGGGCGGCTGTCAGGACAGCGTTGATGTTTATGAGCATGCTCAGTGATAACCACCTCCTTGTACCTTCTTGGTGTGATGCCAGGCGGGAAAATGCCATCTGTATGCCACACTCTCATCTCCCTGCCACAAAATTGATCCACTATGCCCTCTTTATCTGCTTACTGATTCACACCTTTGTATGCACACACACAAAACTGTGTCTTGGCTCCCTTCGAGGACCTGTGTGTGTGCGTGTGTGTGTGTACGTGCATGTTTTAAAGTGGACGCCCTCTCGCCATCTAAAAGGGATTTATGCATAGCCGGGTCCCAGAGTTTTTCCTGTTACGGTTTGATATGATAAGCTTTTTTATATGTTTAAAATCAATATGTAATCCTATGCAGGAGCTTATCCCTCTCCACACCCCCGACACACACACACACAAACACACACACACACACACACTTCCCATTTGTAAATCTATTTGGGCTTTGTAACACATCGGGGCGGCGTGCTACAGACCCTGATTGATTAGGTGCACTGTGGAATCCTATCACATGGGTGACTTTTGATGATGTCGCCAACTCTTTCAGGGTTGCTAGTTGACTGGAACCACCGATAACGAGTATCCTCGTTCCACGAGTTGTCGGACTTGAGTTTTGGGGAATTTAGGAAAATAATGTATTTGCATTAAGCTTGTTTGTGCTGCTTTTTAGGCTGTTTTTCATTCAGGTTGCAAGATAAAACATGTACTTAGTTTAAATGTACACACTGACTTTGTGTTCTCCAGGATGGTAGAACAAGTGCTTCCTGTAGTGTAGCTAACATGATATTATATGCTGGTTGTTGTCACATATGGTGGAACAGGTGTTGAAATTGTGCATTTTAGTTTAGATTCATGCTTCAGGTTCTGGATCGTAGACTGTTGTCTGATGTGTCTTAAAAAGTTAGAGGTGGGTTTGCTGCTGACTCTGTGTCTCAGAAACTAACTTGTTTCAGTTATTAGCAGCTATAGTGTCTCATAAAAGTTTTCATATGAATCAGTTTGTGAGTCAGGAGGGTTGATAACTCACATAGTTGCCTCCAGTGATTTAAAGTTGTTGATTGTAACCTTCAGTGTCCTGGAATTAAACAGTAAGGCTACCGAAATGCAGGACTGAGGGAACTAAGGGAAGATGTCACCCCATACAGTGTGGCTCATTCATCAGTTTTCCTGTTAAAGCACAATTAGTCATAATTAGAGGGAAATAACAATTTGATCAGTCCTGGATTAAATACATTTTTGAGAATTAAATCACTAAACTTTTGTGTTTCAGTTTTCAAAGTTCGCATGTGACGTGACAGATAATCAACGTCCCGCTGTTGAGATAGTTTGTATTTATCAGCCATTTTCTCCCGCCTGTCGACTTTCTTCTCCTCTGGTGACACTTTTTGTCTCTTGACTCCACTTGGCTCTCTGCCAAAACTAGCTTTTGGAGGCCTTTTACACAAGAACAAAAGGTAGAGAGCAGAGACGATGAGAAAAAAACAACAACAAAGAAATGAAGGGGAATAAGTTTATAGTTTGTGTTTATCGTCGTAAATGTCTGCAGAGCGTTGTCTCTGCACATATGAAGCTTTGGATCGGATCCTTTGATTTCACATCATTGTGTGTGTGTGTGTGTGTGTGTGTGTGTGTGTGTGTGTGTGTGTGTGTGTGTGTGTGTGTGTGTGTGTGTGTGTGTGTGTGTGTGTGTGTGTGTGTGTGTGTGTGTGAGACAGAAAATGAGAGAGACAGACAGTTAGACACATGTAGGACGGTCTCTCCTCGCTTTGAGAGAACGGGGCTTTGGACCAGTTTGCTCTCTTGAATAAATTTAGCGTCGGAGAGACCGGGTGGGGAGGGGTTCATGGGGATTTGAACCAGCGCATTCTTGTGTGCCTTGTGCAGACTCACATGGTTACCGTTGGCGTGCACGGCGAGGGTTATCTGAATACGCACCCACCATGTGAGTTGTACACACTCCTCTAAGTCTTTAACCTCTCTCTCTCCCTCTCTCTGATGGGGGAGGCGGGGTTTACTCGGACAGGGTGGGGGGGTTGATGCTGAGTGGCTGCAGGGTGTTTTGTTTGTTCCTGGGTGTCTGGTTACCCAGCCTGCCCTGCTCTGGTGTTGCCTGGTCACGTCTCTCATCGGCTCTCTTTATTGTTTACCTTCCTAATGAGGGGGGCGGGACTGTGCGACATGTGATTGACAGCAGTGTGCTTCCCCCCTCCTCCGTAACCCGCCACCACCGCCACCCGTCCCCGGGTCGACCAGGACTTTGGCTTCTTGGCTGATGTGCTCTGAAGGACGAGTGCAGGATCAAGACCAAAGATTTTTATTTCTTTTTTTTACATACCTCTCTGTTTCTGTGGGAAGTTTTTTTTTCCCCCTTTTTCTGAACCCTCCTCTTGTGGGCCGGCCTTGTCGAGAGAGGATTGTGGGAGTTATGGCAGATATGGATACACACATTCCTGTCTCGCAATTATCTAAAGATGATGACTCACCTGCTTTTCTTTTCCCTTAACACAATTTGTTGTGATTTCCCCGCTCCCTAAACCACCTCAGTGTCTTTTTTTAAAAATGAAACAAAAACACTTTTCGGATACAGATTTAGACATATTTGGCAGTTATGAACTATTTGTCGACTCTCTCAAAAGCTAGAGGAGAGTAAAATTGCTTCCCTGAGGAAAAAAGGAGGGAGGGAGAGAGAAAGGAAGAGGAGAACGTAGAGAGCCAAATATTGGGACTGTGTTCATTTCGCTCTGTGGTCGACTTCAAAGGGACGAGCGGGGCCAATGAAGACAGCGCAGACCTTTCAGGACAAACACACTGGGCCCAGCGTGACACACACACATACACACACTCACACAAACACACAGCCTGACTGCCGCAATTTGACTCAATGAGGAGGGGGCGAATATTTATTTTTAATAAAGCCACACTTATTTTGGGACTGACATTTTACAACGTTCCTTTTATTCTCAATCAATAGGCGGTTAAATATTGATAGAGGGTTGAAGTTGCCTACGCGCCACAGAAGTTTCACACGTCTCAGCTGTGTTTGAAACCTCTCGGGGATGGAGCAGATTTTTTTCATATGAAACGATGGAGAGTTTTTGAGGGGACACGTTCTCAAACTGATTTGAGGAGTAGTTTGAGATCTCCTGCCTTCCTTTAGCTGTTGGAAAGTGAGAGAGACTGTTTGTCAACCTGAGATGTTTCATCTGAACGGGTTTCAGTGCAGTTGGATTTAAGATGATGCCAAAACTGCATTTTTGTTGTACTGGTAATAAAGTTTAACCTAATTATACACCACAAGCTGTCCGGTTTTACATAAGAAGTAAAAACTGGATTGTTTAAATTGTACAAAAAAGAAGTGAAAAACAACTTGTTGTAATGACATCATTCTTTAAGCACTGTTCGGGGTTTGGGGGTGAGTTTTAGGGGTGAGGGACGGAGGGACGGAGGGAGGGAGGGAGTGTTGCTCCAGTGTTGGGTGAATGTGGAGCCAAGGGCGCCAGGCGGATATTTGAGCCCCAGGGGGAGTGAGTGCTCTCCTGTGGGTATCCCCCCTCCCCTCCAGGGAGAGGCTGAGGGGATTTGGCTCAGGGTCCCACCTGGACCCTGTGGGGCCCTGTGGGGCCCTGCGGGGCCCCTTCCTGCAAAGACCCTGGAGAACTGAGAGACGAGAGTCAGGGGCTCACCTGTTTGTTTGTTTATTTATCTGAGGAACAAACCAAGTGTTGACTTTTAGATGATTGTATTTATTTAGATTTTGGACCATGAAGACTGAAGCCGGTCATTTCTAATATTAAACAAGAGGAAACAAACTTTCACAGAATTTCACACTTTAACCTCAAAAATGGACCAAAACCGAATAATTGTATTACAGTTTATGATAGTTTGAAACTTTATGAGCTAAAATAAAAAAAAATGAAAGGAAAAAGATCAAACATCAAGACAGAACAGAACACAGCAGACACAGTTATACTGTAATAAACTGATCGACAGGAAGTTAAACATACATACACATATTTTTAAATAGGGTTGAGAACTTTATACGAGCAGCATTTTCCTGTGGGAATTCTTCACATATCTTTGTGTGTGTGCATAAGGCTGCAGATTAACATGACAATATCCTTCAAGTGTGTTTGCTCGAGTCAACACATCGTCACTGTGCGCACACACACACACACAACACACACACACACACACAAACACACACACACAACCTGACCTGAGTGTGTTTACACGTCATATCTACACACTCTTCCATACATGGAACTGCTCTGGTGTCCATCTGTACACAGTCCAGCAGGTTAATAAGAGGATGAACTTTTACCAAACTGAGACAACCTGTCCATCATGTGCTATAGTCACATTAAAGTCTCTTCCTTTAATCAGAAGAGCTGAGAGCAGGTGGAGCCACGTCTAAAGTGTTTGAAAAGCAGAAGTGCTCAGAAGGAACATTTCTATTCCCGTTGGATCCGAGTTCATTCAGCATTTTGTAGAAATGTTTTACTTTCAGGTTGGAGTGAGCTGTGAGGTCGTTCAGTCTGTTCTGTCCTGCCGTCCAGAGTTCCTGACAGGACAAGAACAAACAACCTGTGATCCAAAGTGTCTCAAGGTTTATAGAATAAAAACAGTTGTCCTCAGTGTCTCCTGGTCTGAATGGGTTTGTCCCTCTGCTGTCGTTGCAGACTGGCAGAAGACGGAGGCCCAGAAGAGACGAGAGCAGCTGCTGCTGGATGAGCTGGTCATACTGGTCAACAAACGGGACGCACTGGTCAGGGACCTGGATGCCCAGGAGAAACAGTAAGTTACCCACAAATACAGAAAAACACTTCAGCCCCGCAGAGTTCTGTCGGAGTTAGTTTTTCCTCTCAGTCTGGGAATATCCAACCGCCTTTGGTGAGTGTGTGCGAGAGCGTCTGCTGCCTATCTTTAAATTTCCAGAGGTCCCCCAGACACTGCAGACGTAGTGAAAACACATTGCAGGTGATGTTGCGTTCCAGCCAGCCTGCAGCCAGCCTGCATGCACGGCAGCGGAAGCAGCACACCTGCATGGGCGGGATCTCTTCCAGATTGGCGGCACCATCTGCCAACAGGGTGCCAGGCGGGTGAAAGGTCAGCTCTCGGCCCCTGGCGCCCGGCCACTCCGCAGGCGGCACAGCGATGGTTGCCGTGGCACCGACTGTGTTACCTGCGTGTGTGCCCCCACCTCCCCGCTTACCCCAGACGCATCTGACCTTTTGACCTTTGCCCTCTGCAGGGCCGAGGAGGAGGACGAGCACCTGGAGAGGACGCTGGAGCAGAACAAAGGAAAGATGGCCAAGAAAGAGGAGAAGTGTGTGCTTCAATGATTGTCACTTCAGAAAAACACAACCAACAAATGTAGCCGATAAAAGAAATGTATCATCATTATTATAATTATTATTATTATTATTATTATTATTATTTCATAGTGGCTTTCCTAGACATTTCTGTCAGTTATTGGAATCCTGATGTGGTTGTTGTTTTGGTCGTATTAACCGCAGAGACCCTGCGATGCCTTTGCACCAACTTTATACTGACTCAAACTGTCCCACTTACATACAATGTTTTTTATTTGAATTCTCCTTTGCTTTACCAAGAACGGTACTTGTATGTAATATAAATATGTATGAGAACAGAGACCCTGTCAGACAGTGTGATATTTGCATGTAATGATGCAGCTGCACAGTCTTCTCTGTCTGAATGTGGAGACCAGTAGGATTGAGGTACAGCACAACTGGGTTTAATGGGTGGGAATTTTTTTTTTTTTCTTCCCATCATGTTGACAAGATGATGATGACGTTGATGTTTCAGTTGGACTTTTAAAAGGAAAAAAAGAGTTATAATATCAGTCTTTTCAAGCTACTTCATTACTTGACCGTGTGTCTTTTAATTATTTCATTTCAAAGTTTTTACTTGTAAAATATCTTAAAGGGGGAACGCATTACCGTTCATAAATCTTGCATAAATCTTAACTTTCCTATTGCTTTTTTTTATTGTCTTGGCTTGAAAGCAGTTTACCAAAAGAAAGATCATGTTTAAGAAAAAAAAAAATCTCATGTTGTATATTTTCATCACTGCTCTGACCAATAGCTTCCCAAATCCTTTTTTTGTCAGGATTCATGCAGTAAAAAACAAAAAATATATATATTATTTATTGCCGTTTGTCCTTTTAAGCTGCTTGTAAGTGAATCTACCATCACATTTCATTTCATTTGTGCATTTTGCTCAACAACTTTTGGTTTCTATTTATTGTATTCTGAAGAAGAGAAATATGCTTCCACGTGCATCACTTAGAGCTCCACATCTGGTGCAGTTGTCCTTTACATGTTGAACATTTATCTGTTTATTTATTCCAGTGTCATAACCCAAGTCTTCAATAATAAAGTCCTTATGATTTCATACTCCACCAAAGGCAGCGTGTGGCTTATTTTAGACCCTGTGGAAAATAACGCAGATATCTTAAACCTGCAGGTATTTAATCTACACGCATTGAAACGCTTCCATAATTTCTTTAATATCCTAAAGATGAATTTTAACGCAATCGGTGTCCTCAAAGTTATTTTTATTTTTTGGGGGGGCTTTTTATAATTGCACACACACAGTTGTAAAACTTGTAACACTTTGCTTCTTTTTCTCTATTAATTTGTCAATGTTACCTCCAGTTCCACGTGATCCAGATCATATTCCTGATTTTTTTTTTTTTTGTTTCTTTCTACAAAAACTTATTGAAATGCATGCACGCCTTTGGCTGCAGCGCTGCACATAAGTGGCCCCTATCACTGCATTCAGCAGCGAGCGTTGCGTTTAGCAATGCTTATTATTCGGCCCTCTGTTCAATTCCCCTGCGACTGGTGCGTGTTTATAAATTAAAATTGGCGTTCGTTTTTTTTTTTTGTTTGAGGTCGGTGCTGAGCAGGTTCCTCTGAGGAAGATTAGAGAAATCACTTTGTACCGAGCAGATGTTTCTCTCCCTCTCTCTCTCTCTCTCTCTCTCTCTCTCTCTCTCTCTCTCTCTCTCTCTCTCTCTCCCTCCCTCTCTCTTCCTCTCTCTCTCTCTCTCTCTCTGGGCCGCTTCTGTGCGCGCTGGAGACGGGGGACTGAGCTGGAGAGACTCGGTCACCCGCAGCCAGGGATGGAGATGGAAATAAAAACTGGAAGGTCGGAAAAACTATCAATATTAATATGATAATATTAATCACAACCTTAAATTAGCTTTTTTTAGGCTTCAAGTTGTCTGAACGCTCACTGATGTCAAACTAAAATAAACAGTGAAAAATGTCCCTGCAACGAGAATCAGGAAGAAGTGTCTGTGCTTTAACCCTCCACACCAGCCCTGCAGGCAGCCTCCCATCCTCGATTAAAGCAAGAAAATAGGTTGTGACAGCAGACGTCCTCCCCGGCCTTTCTAATACTTTCAAATTAATTTGCTGATTCGTTTCTTCTCTGCTTGGGACCGACCGTACGTGCACATTACGCACTTTACGTCCCCCGAGGCGCTTTGTTTTACTTTGTATTATAGCGCGTTTATCACGGCCGTCTGTAATCTGGAGAATAAAGCAAAGAGCCAAAGCGGTGAAGGACGTTTTGCTCGGTGCCTGTATGTGGCTCTGTGTGTGTGTGTGTGTGTGTGTGTGTGTGTGTGTGTGTGTGTGTGTGTGTGTGTGTGTGTGTGTGTGTGTGTGTGTGTGTGTGTGTGTGGACAACCTTAAAATTATTCACAACACCTGTCACTTCTACATGGATTTAAAGTCATTATATAAATAGTGTGAATATTCCCTGTGTTGTTTTAAAAACTGGCTGATTTTATCCTGACAGAAATAACTGTGCGTAAAACTTTTCCTGAATTTGATTAAAAGTTTTGATGTTTCTTCCTCTTTTTTTTTTTTAATATCAGTTTAAAATGCAATAAAGTTTTTCTCTTCATCTTAATCAGAGCCGGGTTTAGTGAAAATTACATCAATGCCCAATGAAAGAAATCCTTCCAGGTGATGAATCTGATAGCCTATTTTAAAATTTTTTTCTAAATGTTTTTTAGAATAAAGAAATAATAAAAAGACAGAAACAGTCGTGTCTTACCTCTGTGGTGTCGCTCGGGTGTTTTTACTGTCCCTGTTGAAGCAGAAGCAGTGAAAAACATTTGATGTCACTTTCCTATATTTCAGTGAATAAGAGCGGCGCGCTGCGTAAAAAGCGGCGGTGCCTCGGCGCTGCTGTGCTGCTGAGGATCCTTCAGCTGAATGGATTATCTCCTGAGCTTTGATGTCTCCTGGCCTCACCTCACAGGTGCTGAGCGCCGCTCGGCCCTCTGCATTACTTCCTTTCCCCGCCGCCGTCCAAAAACCTGCACCTGAGGGAGCCCGGGTCTCTGCGTGCAGCGCCGGGGCTCCTACAGCACTGTGTTTTATGCATCATCGTTTTAATAAGCACCGACAACATCCCCGCAGATCCCCGCTTCCAATCCTGCCGGCTGAAGGGACAAAACTTTTCCCCCTCCTCTCCTCGCCGCCTAATCCCAGGCTTTACCAGCTCAGCATTAAGAAAATTCAACTGCAATTTGGGATTAGACAAAATACTCTTATTACAAAAGGTTGGTGCAACTTGATAACTTGATACTTGTTCAGGGGTTTATCTCGGGGTCTTACTCACATCGAGAGAGGAGGGGAAAAAAACAAGAAATGTAGGGGAAATGTCAGAATAACCCGACTCTTTTGTGTTGTGTGAGGGCCATATTTGTTGAATGGCCTTTTTGCATAATTTAACGGAGCCTGTGTGTGAGTGTGTGTTTGTGTGTGCAGAGGGAGAGGAGGGGTGATGGTATTTCGGTCAGACCCTCCACGGGCCCACTGACTGCTCGGACTTCAGATGTGGTGGAAATAAAAAGGTGCGTAAAAGTGTTTGACCTCCAGTCAGCATCCAGGGATCACAAACCCAGAACAGTTAACAGTAAAACATGTCAGACATCTTCCCTGCGTACCCCGCCTCTCTTCATCCATACGTCTGGCCACACTCATCATCACTCTGGTTCTAATGTTTCATTTTGCTCTCTGTGCGTAAAAAAAAAAAAACATTAAGGTGCGTTCAGGTGCCCTTATCCTCCACTGTGCTCCTGCCTGTAATAAGCAGAATCACTACAGGCCTCCACACACAACCTCCAACATTACTTTGTTCCCTTTTTTTTTTTTTTTTTTTTTTTGCTCCGCCGACTATTGATGTCTAAGTTTCTCTGTCAAAGTGCTCTCGTGGATGACTTTTAAGTCCCATCGGCCTCCACTTTGATACCCCCCTCCTCACACACACACACACACACACGTAAAAATGTAATTCCCATCCCTGCAGTTCTCTCTCTCTCTCTCTCTCTCTCTCTCTCTCTCTCTCTCTCTCTCTCTCTCTCTCTCTCTCTCTCTCTCTCTCTCTCTCTGAACATTAGCTCGCTTTCAGCTCAGGCCTCATTTACAAAAGTTGATGTTTTTGCAGAGATCCACAAAGGATAGCACAGCCGAGCCGAGCCGTGCTGCATCTCACGCTGGTACACAGGCCGTAGAAAGAAAAGAAAATGCAGTTTGTTGTGTGTGTGTGTGTGTGTGTGTGTGTGTGTGTGTGTGTGTGTGTGTGTGTGTGATGGGTTAAAACACATTAAAAACATCGACATAAAGTGCAGGATTTGATTCAGTGACCGCAGCTTCTGGTGCCGTTATTTCTTCTTCTGTGGATTCTTCTTTTTCCTCCGCAGCGAGTTTGAGGTCTATCCCTATTAAACTTTACGTCAACCATCCTCAAATGTAATTCTAAATGGGGATTAGACCTCATTAATATTCATGAGACTGGTGTGTGTGTGTGTGTGTGTGTGTGTGTGTGTGTGTGTGTGTGTGTGTGTGTGTGTGTGTGTGTGTGTGTGTGTGTGTGTGTGTGTGTGTGTGTGTGTGCGTGCGCGCGGAGAGAAAGGAGGAGGGGGGTGTATCACAATAAAATCAAAATGGATGAATTTAACTTCTTTCCTCCTTTTTTTTTTATTTCTCACGTTCACATTTGTCATCAGAGGAATTAACAGCAATAATAAGAGTATTAATAAAAAGGCTTCCCGGCCTTTTCTGGAAATGTATTTTGTGATGTTGATAAAGTAAAAAATGCAGCTTTCTGTCAAACTGAACACTCCTTTGAAACATTTTAAGCCTCAAAAGAAGCGTTTCCTTCATTTTCTCTGTGGAAACATTCAGAATAATAACCTTTTATTTCATTTAACAACTGATTTGATGTTTTTGAGAAAACAAGACGCCACTTTTAGGCATCGTGGCATATTTTTAGAATAAAATAAGTTTTAGTTGGAGGAAAAGTCCGCAGATTTATTTATTTTTGACACGACTAGTTCTCTTGGTCGCTCCAAAAAATTCTCCCAGTTCTTCTTCTTCTAAACTGCATATAAACAATAAAATAATATCTTCTAAATTCTTCTTTTACGCACTTTGGCGCACAGCAGATCCTGACGCTCTGTAGCACTTCCTCCTGCAGGCCTGCATGTGAAACATTTCCATCTTTTTCAAACCTCTCTTTGGTTCGTCCGGTCTCGGGACCGGGACCGAGAAGAGGGGAGGGGGGTGCTAAGTGGGAGTGGGGTCTCCCGGCTGCCTCTGTGCGCCCATTGGCCGCCCTCGCCGTCCGTCAGCCGGAAGACGCGCGCTCATTGGCTGCAGGAGGCGGATCCGCAGGTGTCCTCCGCTCATAGAGGCGCGGGGCGGAGAGAAGGTGATCAATCTCCATCCGTCTCCATTAGAAATCACCTTAACACTCTGACAGACAACGACAAGCCCCCTGAAAGCAAATGAGTTTGATTTATTTGGCTGTAAAAACACCCGGAACCGCACCGAGGACGCGGTGACGCCCGTGTGCTGATAACTGCGCGTTTCTCCGTGATGCTGCTCGGTTTGCACACTGTTGTTTTGTTTCTGAAGAAGTCTGCCGCTGTTTGAGTTTTGTGCCCTGCAGACTTCCTACTGCTGGATAATTTTACTGCTGCTCGCCTCTTGTGGGCCGAGAGCTCGGGAGAAGGGAAGGAGTAAAACCAGGTAATGTTTCTTCTCTTTTCTTTCACTAATTTAATGTTTTGTTTCTGCTTTGTGCGCATTTTTACTCCGAGCTGCAAACCCGCCCCCCCCGCACCATTAACATAAGCAGCTCAAACTGTATTAAAGCGACAGAAAAGTCACTTTTACAAACATTTGAAAAACGTTAAATTGTGAAATGCGGCTCTGTGCGTGTTTCAATTTGCGCCGCTGCACTTTTGTTGGATTTGTCTTTTCTTTTTTGTTGCGGAGATATCAATTAATCCGCACAGTGGAGGACTCCGACTCGAACTGGATAAATTGAGTCAACTTCCTCCTGAGTAGATAATTTTCATATTTCTATTCCAATTCATTCCTGTGAGTTTTTGGAGAGCAATTGGCCATTAAAACGTTTGAGCCACTTAGCAGATAATTGGAGAGGCGTGTTTTGGTTTTTGTTAATTTATTTTGCTGATAAGAGCCCTTCTGAAACGCTCTCTCCCCGGAGGTCTAATCTAAATTCTAATTGAGTTCATTTGCACCGAGATCTCGCCTTTTCACTCCGGCCTGGCAGGGCTGGAAATGCGCTTTAAAAAGCCGCTGGAATACACGTTAGGTTAGTTCAGGTTTGGTTTGAGCAGTTAGGAGCTCATTGTTAAAATAATCTCCCCCTCCAGAGCCGCTAATTTAATTCACACTCTTTAAATCTCGACGTGTATTTTTATTTTTTAATGTACCTTTTTTTTTTTTTTTTTAGTTTAGATAATTCTTCACTGAGGGGCAGAAATCAAACTTAATGATCAGTTTACAAAAAAAGATTTTACGTTTTAAAACCTCCATCAGGATGCTCAGAGTTTCTGTATGCAGGTTTGTTTCATACACAGTAAAGTAGTTGTTAAATGTTGAACTAGAGTTCATTCCCCCAAAAAATTGAATCTTAAATTCAGTCGCATTTACTGAGAGAAACATGCAAACACAAAAAGGTAAATAATATAAACATTAACTGATCAGCTGTTGGAGGCACGGGAATGGATGGGAGTTACAGTTGTGCTTTTAAATAAAATTTCATTTTACAATCGGTCATCTAATCTGGTGAAAATCAAGAAGTGAAGAAATAATTAGACGTTTTTTCAGTGAACTTTGGTTTTTTTCCTCTGCGCGTTAAAATAAAGGGAACTGGAGTTAAACGAGGATTTCTTTCAGAATAAAAGCGAGAGCAAAGTTATTTAACTGGAACTGACTCCTCAGAGCTTTCTGTAAAAAAAAAAGAATAATATAAATGAAGTTCAAGGCAAAATGGTTTATTTAGTGGATTTTATTCTATTGTGGATTGAGTTCACTTCAGCCGAGTTGAGGATCCGCAGGAGTCTCGTTGTGGTCAGAATACACACAAAGTCTGACGACCCGAAACAAACAGAATGAACGAGTTACAGAAAGACTTCAGACAACCACAGCTGTGATTTTTATAGATTATCAACCCACATCCATAATCCAGCCTTTTACGTGTGTGTGTGTGTGTAAGTGCAGGCCTCAACACACACACACACACACACACACACACACACACACACACACACACACACACACACACATTGTAGTACTCAGCAGGCTACGAGTTTAAACTAATTAATTTTTTTACCAGGAAATAAAATCAACAAAATTGCAGGAAAACAAGAATTAAAATCCTGCGTTATTCAACTGAAAAATGTAAATTAAATTTCCTTTTTGACTTTAAAAGTTTGGAGAAAAAAAGACATAATAGAGGCCAACAGATTATTGTGATTGAATTATTAATTAGTGTTTGAGAGGTTCCCACAGTTACAGCAGTGTGTCAGTTTGCAGAATGGGAAATAATGAGAAACACTTTGCTATAAATATTGTGCAGTTATGAGGTTGTGTACATCAGCCTCCAGTGTGCTCAGACAAACGAACATCAGTGGAAACAAACGTATTAATAGAACAGCAAAGATGTATAGAATAAAACACTCGCATCAGTTTCATAGAGCCTTTGAGGATTTTAGTTAAAGTTGTGGAGCTGTGTCAGCTCGGAATAAAAGCTGTAAATGAACAGCTGTGTTACTTCAGTTGTTTCTATTCCTCTGCTGAGGTTGTGAGCTGCAGCCGTTTGACCCCAGTTATCCTCTCACCAAAAGTCCAATATTCCTGAAGGGATTTAATGTGCGTGTAATTCATGGCTGTATACGGGCTGTGCCACTAAATAATTACTATATTATTTCTTGGGAACTTTATGTCATGATGCATCTTTTACTACAGTCCCAGTTTTAATACATCGGAAGTGAGTAGAAATTGGTTGAAAAGCGAAATTAGATATTACCTTATATTACAAAAACAAATATGAGATAAAAGCTGAGGTCGTATAATTATGATAATACATTCGAGAGTTTTTCTCCGTTTTCTGATGATAAAAGTATTTCCCAAATATTCCCTGCTGTACGTTTATTTCAGGTGACAGTCCTCTCTCATGCAGTGAAACTTCGCTTTGATTTTCTTTCTTAAATGTTTCTAACACTGTCCCCTCCGTCCCGTGTGTGTGTGTGTGTGTGTGTGCGCGCAGTGACTAGGATCGGTCCCCTGTCCCGTCAAGCTGCAGCATCGGGGGAAACCGAACCACTGGCCTGAGCTGGGTGGAGCAGTGACCGCCTGTAGCATGATGTCCTACCTCAAACAGCCCCCCTACGGCGTCAACGGCCTGGGGCTCAGCGGCGCTGCCATGGACCTGCTGCACCCTTCAGTGGGCTACCCAGGTACGAGCCCGGCACAAACACACACACACACACACACACACACTTTTTAAAAAGCTGAATGCAGGAAGAGCCAGATTGACAGAGTTTGTCCAGTAAACCGTGAGGAGGAGAAAGAGCGGGTCCAAAAGTCTCTATAAAGAAAATGACCAAAACATTTAGCCTGCAGTTAAATTAGGATGTTTTTGGCTGATAATAATAATAATAATAATAATAATAATAATAATAATAATAATGTAAAAAAGTTTGAGACAACAAACTAAATTTCACAATAAAATTATTTTAAAACCAATTTAAGTAGGTTAATCCCACAAAGCATGAATAGGCATTATAAAGTAAATAGTACACGTGTATGACAGATGGTATGAAGAGATTTAAACTGCCTGTCAGTAAGGAACAGTAAGCTTTTAAAAAAGAAACATTAAACAGGCCTTTAGTTAAACACTGGTGCTGCTTATCAATGTAAACTAAAGAGAGCTGAAAGTTACATTGTTTTTATTTCCGTCTGTGAATGCAACAGTTGAGTGTTTATAACCAACTTTATAACTCTCATTAATATTTAAAATCAGACGCAAGGAAAGATTTAATGTTCTTCTTCTTTATTATTATTATTATTATTATTATTATTATTATTATTATTATTATTATTACTGCTCCGTGTGATGAGCCGCTGTATTGACGGTCCTCCGGTACTGTCTCTTTCCCGCAGCCACTCCCAGGAAGCAGCGGCGGGAGCGGACAACCTTCACCCGCTCTCAGCTCGACGTCCTGGAGTCTCTGTTCGCCAAAACTCGGTACCCGGATATCTTCATGCGGGAGGAGGTCGCTCTGAAAATCAACCTGCCGGAGTCCAGAGTCCAGGTGAACAATGAAGCGGTTTTTTTCCCCCCGTGTGTTCACTAACACCGTGGAAACGTCCCACAACACGAACCTGCCCGAGTTCACTGTGGACAGATACACACAGGTCGTATATTCATATGGAGACACGTTAATGTCGTTTACTCTCCATTAAAGCACTAAAAGCTTAAAGTCAGCTACCGAACAGTCTGTAAATGTTACAGTCAAACTCACATTAAACATTACTGTTTATTTATTTATTTATTTAAAATGGGATAGTTAAAAGTTATTTATTAGCTTGTCTCTCTTTTTAGAGCAGACATTTGTTTTAATCACTAATTAACGGTCAATTGCGATTACATAACAATTTAATGTCGTCGTTTTATAATTATCGGTTAATGTCAGCTTGTTATAAATGCTTTAAATAACTCATCTACCAATCGGTTCAATATGTCTGTAGTATTCAGACTAATAAACATCACTGAACCTCCATTTATCAACATGATAATAATAACGGGACAATAACGACCTGGTAGTTTGTGATTTATTATTATATTTATTAATTTGGAGAGGGTGATAACCAACATATGGATTAATTCTGATCGATAATGGTGACATCATAACTGGAATTAAAATGATAGACTGGTTTTTAAATGGGGAAAGTAGCTGTGAGGTTAAACCAGTGAACAGGGTTGCATTCAGGTGTTGTGGTTATTTATATAATCTCCTCTTTCCCACCTCTGGTTCTGCTTTCATTTCATCGGTTAATTTTTCCATCTGACTTCCCTGGTTCACAACTTTTATTTTATGCAGGAATCCAGCAGTTTGTCCGAACTGATGTAAACAAAACTATAGTCCTGAAAGGCCGGGTTTTCAGCCGAATCAGTTGACGATTTCATTATTATTTGATGAAATCTAACCGAAGGCTGTGTAATCTGATCTGAAATATGGGATGCATAATGAAGAGGTCAGGAGTACGCCAGCAAAGACTCCACAAACAACTCACTGGTGTACTACGATGTTGAACAAATGCTACTCTTGAAAGGCATTAGGGGAAAACCAAGGCAGGCCCCTCTCTCTCTCACACACACAATTTGAGTTATTCTCAGAATGTGTGTGTGAAACAAAATGCTCTACATGATCCTACCCTCTCGGTGCTCTAGAGTTACCCTACTGTGTGGTGAAACCCAATAGCCTGTTATCTTAGAGCCGTCTACCAGGTATGAAATTAGACCCCTGGCTGGTCCGAGCCAAGGGGCCGGGGTGGAAATGAACCTTGATGGCTAATAACCCCCAATTTTCTTCCATAATGTACTCCCAGCGTGGCCTGGGAGTATCTTTTTGAATGAAATGCTGAGGTTGTTTGTGTGTACGGTTGCTAACTCCTGGCTGCTGTTCTCGGGTTCTAGGTGTGGTTCAAGAACCGGAGGGCCAAGTGTCGCCAGCAGCAGCAGAGCGGCAGCAGTGCCAAAGCCAGGCCGCCCAAGAAGAAGTCTTCTCCGGCCCGGGAGAGCACCGGCTCCGAGAGCAGCGGCCAGTTCACGCCTCCTGCCGTCTCCAGTACGGGCTCATCCTCGTCTTCATCCTCCTCCACCAATCACACGGGCCCGGCGGCGCTCAGCAGCACCTCTACCTCCATCAGCACCGTCTCCTCCATCTGGAGCCCAGCTATCTCCCCCGGAAACGCTCCCGCTCCCGCCGTGGCCCCACTCCCCGAGCCCGGACCCCCTTCCAATGCCTCCTGTATGCAGCGTTCAATGTCAGGCTCTGCCGCCGCTGCCACCTCCTACCCAATGTCCTACAACCAGACGCCGGGCTACGGCCAGGGCTACCCCGCCCCGTCCAGCTCTTACTTCAGTGGCGTGGACTGTGGCTCCTACCTGGCCCCCATGCACTCCCACCACCACCCCCACCAGCTCAGCCCCATGACGGCCTCCTCCATGTCAGGCCACCCGCACCACCACATCAGCCAGTCGTCGGGCCACCACCACCATCACCACCATCACCAGGCCTACGGTGGCTCCAGCCTGGCCTTCAACTCCTCCGACTGCCTGGATTACAAAGAGCAGACTGCAGCCTCCTCGTGGAAGCTCAACTTTAACACCACAGACTGCTTGGACTACAAAGACCAGGCCTCCTGGAGGTTCCAAGTCTTGTGATCAGGCTTCTTTTTTTTTTTTCCTTCCCTCCCTGCTCGTCTGCTCCCTCTTCTTTTATTTTCCAGATTAGCATATTGCTTGTTTTTAAAGACAAAAAGAGTTTATGAACCATAAGATGACAAGATAGCAGCAGGAATGCTCAACAATCGGACTTTGTTTTTCCTCCCTCTCGTCCTCCACGTCTTTTAAAAATTTAAAAATAAAAAAAAAGAAGATGAGAAACAGTCCCTCAAGTCCTGTGAAGAGAAAACATCAGGAGCAGTTTCCCAACGATGAAGAGTGGGTTTTTAAGACGCCTCTTCTTGGATGATCTTAAGAAAACCAAACTGTTTTTCAAAAAAAAAAAAAAAAAAGTCATTTCAACCAAACTCCGTTGACCACCAGCTCTCTGGCTCTCTGGATGGGAGGAATATTTTCCCCTCTGGTGCACCGACAGGAACTGCCTGCAGTGCCCCTCTTTACCTCCAACCCAATTAAATCCTGTATAGTTTTTATTTCTGAAATTTGTTATTTTAGGATGACAGAGATTTTTAGTCAGCTACGTCGAGGAGCTGAAATATGTAAATATGTATTTGGGTCAGTTACAGTGACCATGTTTAGTTGGTGTTTTTCCGAATTTGAAATTGTTTATTACCACTTTGGGAGAAAAAAAAGAAAAAAAACCTGTATGTAAATCTTTCCAAATATTCCAAAGAGAACAAATTGGCCATAAAGCTCAGCTTTTATATACATTGTTTTACTCAGAAAAAAAAAAATCAGTTTTGGCAATTTGAAATGTCTTGGAAAACTCAATCTAAAATATAGATGCAGAACTATTCTGGGCGTTTGTCCAGGTTTGTTTTCCGGTTATTATTATTCTAGCCTACATTTTCAAAGCAGACCTCCTCTCTTGGGCATTGTCGTGATATTGGACATGTTTGAACCGCAGCACTTGGCTTGATATTGGAGTCAGAGCATTTTTATTATTTTTGGAGAGGAAATGTGGATTTATAGCTCCAAAATGACAGTGAGATGTTGAATGTATCTTTAAGGCGACCACCCTTACATACATGTTCATCCAATAAAGATCCGTTAAGTCATATTTATTTTCCACAGTGGATTCTGTCTCAGTTTGATTCCCAGCAGGGAGTCAAGTTGGTTTATGTTTTTTTTTTTTTTTTTTTTTTTTTTTAGATGCATGTACACCAGCAAATTACAAACTCAAGATTCCTGTTTTCTCTCATTTGAATTAGTCATACTTTTATTCAAAAGCTTGTTGATTTTGTTTTTTCCTAATTATAACGGGGTAAATGCAAATTAGTCCATAATTAATACGAGCCGTGAACGCGTGTAGGCCCACATTTCCATTTGAGAGAGCAGCCAGTTTAATCCTCTGTCTCCGTGTTTAAATTGAAACACTAACATCTCCCCTTGCTTTAGGGAGAGCAAGTGTCTTTTTTAACTGCGGCGTTAAAAAGCCCTAAATATTGAGCCGGGAGACATTTGATCGAGGCGTAATTGAATGCGGCGCTGTAATGGCGTGATAATTACTCCTGCGCCCTGAGTTGGTTTCTCCAAAATAACCTGCAGGAATTTCACTGCCTCTGATGCGGTAATTACGTAGGTGGGGCCAGGTTAGGGGGTCAGATGTAAGTGTGTGTGTGTGTGTGTGTGTGTGTGTGTGTGTGTGTTATGCCTGCAAGCATAAACGCATTATAAAAGAAGAGAGAGAGAGGAGGGAGTAAAAAAAACAACATATCGCGTCAGTTCTCTGGCGAGGTTGTTTTGGACGAGCATGTTTTGAAGCGGTGAAGGCCGCACTGAGAGCAGAGGAGGCAATAAAAACAAATTAATTGCCCCCCCAAAGAGCAGGTAGCGCGCACTTTTCTGCCCCTCCGCCTGTTTTTAATCAAGACAAATTAGGTTTTTCAAATAAGAAAATAAACAGAAATCGGACTTTGGACAATAAGTAGGCCTCGAGAAAAACTCATTAGATATTCTCTAATTAGGGCTGCAACTAACGATTATTTTCATTAAAGGTTAATCCGCTGATTATTTTCTCGATTAATAGATTCATTGTTTTGTCTGTAAAGCGTTCATCCCAGTCCCCAGAGCCCGGCCTAGCCTCGCGTTGCTTTTATTAGTCCGACATATTCACTATTATCACAGAAAGGAAATCAGCAAATCCTCAGTTTTCAGAGGCAGCAAATATTTTCCATTTTTGCTTGAAAAGTAACGATCAATTAGTTTCAGTTTAGTTCTAATAGTGTAATCTCCCACTGAGTCATAGCAGGGATCAGAAGATCAACAAGTTGGAGAAAAAGAAACGGACATAAAACTAAACTTTTTCTCAAATATTAAGTAGACTGACTTCCTCAGGCCTGAAAATATTCAGATGAATAATCTGAGAAGGTAGAAATCACTCACAGCTCATCACAGGCATATGTTAACTTTTGAGGGAGGGGTTTGGTTTGTAAAGGGTCAAACAGTTTAGGAGCAACAAGATGATCAAGATCTGAGAGAGAAACACCGGAGCTAAAGAGGAAGTTTGTTTCTGCCTGATTTCGGTTTGCTCTTTTTCTAGCGATATATTGGATAGTTTTACCTTTAGTGCCTTTAAAAATCCTCCAAATGAAACAACGTGAGAAGTCTTTACATTGCTTCATTTTAAAAGGGTCACAACATTTTTGTATTGGATCCGATCGATAATCTCTCCCTGATCAGATGATCAGCCAGATCGATACACACATGTAGGCCTCTCCCTGTCTGTACAGAGCAGCTGCAGCCAGCCGTGTGTTGTCTCTCTAACTCTCTCTCTCTCTCTCTTTCTCTCTCTTTATGCAAATGCAGCAGCTGAATAAATATCTGCCAACCAGCACATTAAACATGTTTGCGCCAAGACGCGCAAACAGCGCAGCGAGTGTCCACGAACAGCGGCGGATTTGTTCGGATTTGCATCAAACAAACATTTGCGACCAATCTTGTGGGATTGTTTAAGGAGTCTGAGAGAGAGCTACAGGTCTCACATGATGAGACAGCTGCTCACCTTCAAAAACACCCACAGAAACGAAGAGCGCGGAGTAAGAGGAGAGATCCGTTACTCAATGTTTCCTCCGAGGACGCGAAGCTGCAGCAGACACGCGTGTTTCCCTGCAGCCTTCAGGACACAGCTGGACTCATTAAACTGATGCATATAGGGCTGTAATATATAAATAAAATATAAAACACGAGAAGATAAAGGGATGAAACTCTGAGGATGAGAGAAGTTCTGGCCTGAACGAACCTTAAAGGCTAAAATCCCGCACACGCTGTTGGAGAAAGATCTGGCTGATTAACGCTGAACAAGGCAGGAAGAAACTAAATGATGATGATGATGATGATGATAAATGATGAGTGTTACTGTGGAGCAAACAGGACCCAATCTAACATTTACAGCCTATATAAACTTATGGAGTTGTTTAAACCAACCACAGCTGCAGGTGAAACAATGCGTCTTGTTTAAAGTGAGGAAAATATAATACAAATAGTTTGATCCGGCTTATTTTACATCAGGCAAATTATTATTATTACTGTTTATGGAGCAAACATCTTCTTGTTAGTCGGTATTCATATTTTTCCAACCATGCTTGTTGCATCAGAGTATTTAATATATTTGTTTTAGACTCTAATGTGAAAGAGGCGCCTCGCTCTGTATTTACTTTTCTTTCATGCTTCAGCTGCTGGTACTTTTATTTTTTGGGATAACATTTAGGAATTTACCGTCTTAGAACATAATACCAGTGAAAATAACGCCACAAACATGCAGAGATGTTTGATAAACATGTAATGTTTAAAAAAATATTTAAATTAAGCAAAAAAACTAAATGAAATTCATGCTACAACAAAGAAAAACATCCTTGTTCAGAAACAACCTGAAAACACACATTAAAAATTTTATTTAGTATTTTCTTTACATCTATTTTATTGATATACTTTTCTTGATTTATGCCAACTGGCAGATATCAGATAGATGTAGCAACATTAGTTTTAAATTAAACTGAATTTTAACCATGTTAGTTCACAGTAAAAGCTTGAAATCAAACACACACAACTTTGTTTACTTTTAGGAACTCCTTTGAGCACCACACATAGCACTACAATATATTAAATATATCAAAACACACCTGGAATCAACCGGTATCTTTTTATTTTATCTTTTTTGAACAAAAGAACAAATCCAAATGGTTTTATATTTTTCCTCAGACCCTAAACGTCCTCTAAATGTAAGGACTGAATATTCATCCGGGTTTGTTTTTCAACAGGTTGAGAACTAAAGTAGAAAAGTAAATATGTTGATGCCGAAGTGTTTGGCCTCACCTGAGCTGCAGGGAGGAACCAAAAATTCTCCTGTACCTTAGAAAAGGTTTACGACTGATCAAGTTGATAATATAATGCACCAGGCACATAGTTTATCTGTTTGTCACACATTTCTAAAATCCAAATTCTTTGAGTGCTTTCAGAAGATTTTATGTTCACACAGGGTTCAATACTATATTTTTTAAAGCACAGTGAACGATAACAAATATTGAAAATACATATTCTCACCAAAAACTGCACGTAATCACTTCTTTCAACAGCATTTCATTATTTTCAAGGTGACAAAAGCCTCTAAAATGTTGTTAGAGTATTACAATTAGGAGCCATGGTTTAAAAATTAAACACGTCACCACTGACTACATAAAAAAAAAAACATGCTATTGAACCAGTTCATCACTTAAACCTGTGTGTGTGTGTGTGTGTGTGTGTGTGTGTGTGTGTGTGTGTGTGTGTGTGTGTGTGTGTGTGTGACAACTGTTGTTTTAACCTGAACTGAGGGTCTAACGCCTTCATACTCTGTTCAATAGGACGATCGATTGCACCACGTCGCCTGTTGTCAACCGTCGACCTTTTGGCCTTCTGCCTGATCCAGTGAGGGTGTCTGAATGTGGGTGGACTGGAAACTGTTGACATTTTGTTCACACTTGTCCAGGAAATGAACTGGAACCAAGCTGGACCGTTTTTGCATGAGTGGTTGTGATTCGTATCTAGGAAAGAGAAACAGAGACAGACAGTAAGATAAATACAGCGTGCGAGACAGAAACCGGACTGATCCTTCTGTATTATTTAGGTTTGTGAGACCTTACGGGCCTCGGTAAGTCAAAGTGTGTGTGAGAGAAAGAGATTTGAAGGACCACGAGATGCACTGATAGCAGCCTGCATGCTGGGACTGTTTGTTGTCTTCCATTTCCATGCAGGACAGGAGAAAAAAAAACACTCACAGTTGTCTTTCATTGGCTGTCGACTGTCGCCAGACCTTATAGGCTGGTATGAGGAGTGAGAGGTGATACAGAGGAGGATTAAATTTACCTGGGAGGTTAATCTGGGGTCAACTGTACACCGACATGGGTGGAGTCCAGGCCACCGTCTTCAGTTTCTCTGCTTTGTCAGAAAAGCCTTTTTTTTTCTTGCATCTTGTTTTAAGACATAAAACTGGTAGTTGCAGTAGACTTTAACGTCTATTTTGTCATTTTGAATTGTTTCCGGGTCTGACATTTAAAGGTTTGTCTTAAACCCCCCCCAAAAAAAAGCTAACAACAACCTCTTGAATCCATCATCAAAATTCAAAGAAGGTGAGAGTACCATTGGTTCCTCTGAGGGGATTTCACAGTTGAGTCCAGGCAGCAAACACAGCAGAGCTGGTGGACTGAAAGCAGCTTAGTCACCCCTACGACACAAGGCACTGAGAGCATTCATGAAATTCCTTGTGGGTTTACATACTGTAGGTTTAAGATGAGCATAGTCAGGACGATACACCGTCTCTCTGTGGTGTGTAACTAAATAGCATTTTCCTAAAAGTGAAACAATAGGAACCTTTTGCAGTGTTTGCAGTTGGTTTAAATGATCTGTCTAAACCTGACAGGCTCAGTAAAATAGGCATTAAATAAGAAAATGGAATAAAACAGACCCATAATTAAAGTAATCATTAAGGTACAAAGCACTTTCGTCGACTAGTTAGCCGCATAGCATAAAGATGTTTTTACTTTACTGATTTGTTAATGACTTTAATTATACTGAAGGCTGAAGTTCAGTTGTAAACATAATAAATCTACAGATTATTGGAAGCGTTTATAGCTGTGCTAGCCAGTCTGTGGGGCAGGTAAATGCAAACATAAATGCTAACATTAGCAGCTTAAAATGTTCACAATGACAATTGATGATAATCAATCAATTTATTGATTATGAAAATAATCGTTATTTTCAGCCAGAATGAGTGTTAAATGTTAAAGTTCAGCTGGTACATCGTTTGCTGTCTTCAACACCTTAATTTAGCATGTTAGCATTCTAACATTAGCTAATTAGCACTAAATAAAAATACAACTGAGGCTGATTAGTTTTGCAGGTATTTGGTTATGAACCAAAGTGTTGGACAAATTAACTTTTTGAACCAATGATGGTGCTGGATAAAGCTATTACAATCCATTCTGAGGGGGACATGAATGTTGATCCATCCTACAGTTGTTGACATTTCATTCAAAACCAAAAATGTGAAGCTCATGGTGGCGCTAGAGATAAAAAAAAAAAAAAGTCAGGCGATCATCAAAATCATTAGGATTCATCCTCTGGGGATCCTGAATGTCTGTATACAATTTCATGATAATGTAATAGTTGTTGTGATATTTCAGACTGGACTAAAGTATTGGACTCACAGACCAACATTCCTACAGACAAGAGACAAGCATGGCTAAAAATAATACAAACTGTAGAACACTAAAAGGTTTATCTCCATATTCTGGGTTAATACTAAACTGAACCATCTACCTGAGAAATACTGGAGATTTTGGCACAATCCAAGTTCCTCAACAGTAAATCAGTTTAAAAGAAAGATTTGTCCAGCAGCTGTTCTGAGGTCAGTGGAGCAGCCAAACGCTTCCTTCCTTCTTTCTTTCCTTCTTTGAAGTAGCTGATAGGAAATCAGACAAGACTGGACTGGTGAAAGTAGCTCAGAGTTTTCTCCCTTCATATATGACTTTAGATGCTTTCTTCCCTCCTGATGGCATCCTCTCTTTTAAATCAGCAGCGTCAGAGTAAGAAGGGATGGAGTAGAAAGGTATCTGAACAGGTCTTGTATTATCTCATCTGGAAAGGATGCAGCAGACCCTCATCCCAAGTCACAACTTGTCTTTTCCCTTAAGCCCTGCAGACATGGGAAAGCTTAATGGAGGCTTGTTGGCCTGCAGGCTTTAGTGTTTCCCACCAAGGACGTTGTCTCTGTGCGTCAACAGATTGCTGTCAGACGTGTTGGCCACATTTCCATGTTCATTTAGTTTGTTCTTCATTGACAAATTTCTCTCAACATACGAGCAGCAACTAGAGAGAAAAGAAATGTCTGAATCTGTCTTATGAAAAGTTGGCTGATGTGTAACATGCTAAGAAAATACATAGTGTGTTTATCGCTAGAAAAAATCTAAACCTTACTGATGACCTTTGACCTTTTAAACACAAATCACGGATGAAGACGTAAGAAAGAATGCTCTCTCTGACTGTGAGGTAATTTATTTGCAAATATTTTCTACTTTAGTAAATCAGCTATACGGAAGATATATCTATAGGTAGTATGGTTGCTATATATTAATACACAGTATTAAGTTGGTGATCCTTACCTTAACCGGGCTTTCATATTTGATGAAGGTAACAAAACAGATATGACCGTAAAGCATTGCTGTATCTCCGAATGAGGAAATATGTAATGTTTTTTAAGCTTTATGGGCTATGCATGAGAAATTATACATAATTCTTTTGTTTGCCAAAAAGTCATTTAAAGACGAATAAATGAACAATGAGTTATCCTTCATAGTGATGTTATTTTTGGGTTCAGTTGGGTCTAACTCTGTGTTAGAATAAACCTTTTATAAAAATCCAAAAACAGAAATCCTCATAGAGTCAACATCAATCACAGACATGGAGCAGATGTAAATCCATTGTATTTAATTATCTTTTACAGCTGACAGAAGTAATGAAAATGTTTGGTAGTAGACTTCAGAAACATGTCATCAAATTATGTTCATAAGAAATTCTCATAAAATTAGTCAAAGTCAGGAAGTATCAGTGATAAAACAGTGTTAGTTTCTGGTCTGGTATCTCTGGACACACAACAGAACATTCATGTTGAGGATATTTGACCTAAGGTTAACCATGAATATAACATTTATTCTAACTTCAGTCTCAGCAGAATGCTGATGTTTCTCTCGGATCTCAATCTGCAGTTGTTTTAATCATAGAGTATCAAATTATAATGTTTTTGTCTGAAGAGGCTTTTTCAGGAAGCATACGTTGCACCGTAATTAAGTACTTTTCTTAATGAAAAAACTGTAGCATGATATTTATGCAAAGTACATCTCATTCACTGACTGGAATGATAACTGATAACTTAACACTATTCAGTTTTCCTAGGAACAAGATAATTCCAATTATCATTATTTGTAAGTAATTATGTCTCTTTGATGTCTTTAATGGTCCTGACATATTAGTCTATAATATTTTGGGGATCTGGCTTGTGAAGATCAGTGAAACAAACCTATAAAACATACAACCTCCCCCTGAGGGGAAACAGTATCAGTCCAATCAGAGCCATCATTAGATGTGATAAAGCTTCCGCAAAAACACAGCACAGCTGTTGCACAGAGGAGAGAAAAAAACAGATAACCTGGATAATAGCAAGTGCTGGAGGCTTGATTCATTTCCAAATGTTAACAAGGCCGCTTCACAGCTCCAGCATGCCGCGCAGTATGTTAATACCACTAATAAGCCTATCTCTGCGAGTCATCTCGGATGGCAAAGATTTGAGCGTGAGGCGGTGTTTTACAATAAAGCTGCTGGCCACATTTTAAATGAAGCATAACTATTTATGATTTTACAAAGCTGACATAATTGCTTAAAGGGTAACTGAGGAGAGCATTTGGTCTCGTACTTTGTTTTCTGTATTATGAAAGAGGAGATTTCACTGTTTGCATGTCAAAAAGGCTACTGTGTAGGCCATCAGAGAGATGGGAGGAACTTGTGCTCGCCTGTTAAGCAATTTTGCAGCTTTTATTCAAGCTGTCAAGTCAAACAATCAGGAGATAATGCAGCCTTGGTTTGTAAATTATAAACGTGTCAAGAGATGCACTAAAGGCATCGACAGATGCCACTTATCTCCAGCAGGCTCTGCAGTGTGACTGTATCATCAGAAGGGAAATATAACATTTTGATGTTTACATAAGAGAAGTATTAGTATCAGTCAGAAATGTAATTCCTTTCACCCATCCCTCTTGCAGGGGATTGACTCCCCAAAAAACATACAATGATTTTTTTTAAAAAGCTAACAAAACAAAAAAAGGAGCAGAAAAGCATCCTCGCTGATCTTCTGTCCATTTCCAACATCGCTTCTTGTATATTTTTTGGTGGAAATCCTCTTAGAATGCAAAGTAAATAGATTACGATACAGTGAGGGATTAGGGCTCGCGCGGCGCTGTCAGATTAGTCGGTGAGCGCAGCGCGTCGACAGCTCTGACACGGCTATGGCTGCTGTTCAGGAAAGGGGCTCCGCGCGATGCTTTAAAGACGCTGGTTGGCTCCTATTCATGAATAAAACTGTGGCCCGTAATCTTGGCCGACACACACATACACACACATATATACACACACACACACACACACACACACACACACACACACACACACACACACACACACAGAAACACATATACACACACTCACACACAGAGGAAGCCTGGAACATTCAATATCAGTGGTGATGGAAATATAATGGAAGTCTTTATTTTTTCAGGCTGATTAATGGCAAGGTTTAAAACACTTTCTGTCATGTTTTTAAAGGCAACCTGGTGTAACTGTTTTCTTTTAAGGTTCATTTAGTTTAGACTTCAATAAGAGAGAAAATAACCTCTGTGGAGCTGCTCAGTGTATTTAACTTGACTGAAATTTCACAGATATACTAAAACAGGTCTAATATGTACAAATTACAGATAAAACTGGTAATACAGAACTAATGTATTCACATTTAATACTCAAGTAGTATTTCACTTTTATCAGAAATATTCATCTACTGTACAATGATAAGCATTTGAATTTCAATCCAGGTAATACAGGTAAGTGACTTCTTGGTATATAAAAGTACAGACAAAGAGAGCCTGTTATTGGTGAGATGTTGTTGTGTCTCTCCCGTGTCCCACTGGGATTAATAAAGTGTTCTTATCATATCTTACTTGTTACTAGTTTTTTTTCAAACCATTCCCAAATGGACCATGTGAAGCATCCCGGGGTCTTCATCTTCCTGAGAGAGAACAAAGAGAAATGTTACGATTTATAAACCTGAGCAGTGTGTGAATGTAAATACAGCACATGGAGCTTTTAGAGGATCTGTACTGTGCTACACTGCACCACGTCCTCTTTATCCTGCATTCACACCTGAAAGCTCAAGTCTTGAAGCCTTCAGCATCATGAATTTTTAAGGTAATATGAGCTTGAGGACAGTAACTGCACACACACACACAGACACACACTATGAGCTAGGATAGGATATGATTCTAGATAACTTTTCTGACGGACAGACATGATACAGCCTTGTGAATTCTGTCGGCAGAAATCAAAATAAAAGTCAATATTGGGTCAATCAACTTACATTCTTGTTGTCTCTGTCACCTTCACTGCTTTCTGCAGAACAAAATCAAATGACAGAAGATGTTGGAGGCTGTTTGACGTTCCTGTAAACCAGCCGTGACACTTTAAACAAGTACAACAACCAAACATTAGACATGCACAATCACACATGGGAGCCCTACAGCACATAAACACAGACAGAGACACACAGACACACAGACACACACATACACACACGGCTGAATGCCTGAACAAGTTACATGCTCACTCATTGGGTCGGACATGTCGCCTTTTCTGGGTTTTAACGAATGTAAACCGTTGTCACTCATGGCGATCTCTCTCGCTCTGAGCTCTGCGTTAATAAGGTTATGATTGACATTAAAACCCCAGCGTGCCTTATACAGATATTTAAAAAGCTGATGCAAATTCCCCCCAATAGCCTACAGTCCGGATTATCAAACGACAGAGTGATTTGATAGCGAGACAATTGCTAATCACCCGAAAAATGGAATTATTAAAATGGAGAGAGCAGGATGGAGGAGAGGAGGAAGTGAGGAAGAAGCAGTGATGTTTTCTTAATGGGTGTTTTTCCTAAATGACCAGTTAGTCATCTCAGACATCTGAGACCAGCAGAGGAGAGCACTCAGGCTACGTTTAGAGAATAAAACAGGCTGAATGTCGCAGGAGAATTGTTGCAGGGCTTAAAACGTGACCTGAAACCGACATGCTGAACATGATTAGATTTAATATAATGGGCTGACTCTCTCTCTCTCTCTCTCTCTCTCTCTCTCTCTCTCTCTCTCAGCTGCTGCTGCATACAGGGTAAACAGTTTTGTTGTAGGTGGTTTGGGGAGAATTTAGAGCAACATTGAGGGTGGTTTTGTTTCCATTTGGGACAAGAGTGGCTGTTTTTTGTTTTTTTTACAGGTATAAGTGACTCCTGGTTCATTATGATGGTTGATCACATCTGTGATTGGTCAGAATATTTTAGGGTTTTCAAAGCTGCAAGGTAACCACCAAAGACACTACTCCCCACCAAGTGAAAATCTTTCAGATTTCCCATTTTGAAATGAAAAAATATGGAAAGATTTTAAGATTTTAATTCTTAATAAGACTTATTTCTGAATACGCAATGACAAAGACAAGACATTTTACTTTATACAAACTTTTTTAAAAGAGACCTCCTTTTTTAAAGAGACATCCAACAGTTCTATTGCAGGTATGTTATGCTAGTAGCAGATAATGGAGCCTCAAGAAGAGATGAGGAGGAGGCCACAGAGGTCTGATAAACTCACTTCTTTCTAACTCCCCCCCGATTGTTGCAAATATGCAGGAGTATTTAAAAACCTGTAAACAGACTTTAAGGCGCAGTTCCCCTTCAATCATCTGCAACTCAAAAATCGAGAGACAGCTGAAGCTTCATGAAAAAACCTCTAACATTTCTCATTTATCAGGTTGCTCCAAAGATCAGTCTGAAGTAGCGGCCATTAATCTTCAGGTTAAATGCTGCTTATCTATATTCCTGTGATTCTTTCACCTAGAAAGGTTAAGCTCCAGCATTAGATAACTTTTTCACAGACAAAACAGAGATACAGGTGCTTGAAGTATGACAGACAGACAGACAGACAGACAGACAGACGGACGAACCTGTTTGTCTCAGTGTCCTGAACACATCGGGGCTCACGGTCACACATATGCTCTCTGCCTGTGGTCTCCTCTGATTGGCTCTCCCATCAGCACTGAGGAACCAAGGGCAAAAGTTAGATCTGTTGCTTTTTGTTTAAAAATGAATGGTTAATTACATGAATGACACACAGCACAGAATACAATGCAGAGGGACAACTGCACAGTAACCAGCCCCTTTTTCACAAACAATAATGCTGTAATTTACCATATAGATATAATAACTTTACCCCAATATCTATCTATGTATCTATCTATGTATCCATCTATCCATCTATCTAGTCTAGTTTCTACTTGTGATTTATTGAATACAGACAACCTGGGTCTGAATTAGTTATATCATTTATATAATAGTTATTATATACTGTATGTTCTGGTAAAGAGAAATGGGAATAAAAAAATAAAAAAAAGATGCTGCTGTGTGGGGAGAATTTGGTACATCCAGCTCCTCTTCTTTCACTGATTTAGATGCATACAATGTATATATGTACAGTGCATTGTCTATTTTGCATAGAGGATGTTTGTTTTACAATGTTTCTGGTCCACCAGATTCCTCCTCTGATGAAAATTTGATTCTTCTCTCTTCACCTCCTCCCAAAAAACATAAAACTGCTTCCATTACAATTTTGTTTTGCACAGGATGCAAAAAGTAGCAGAATCTAAAAACGTTAGAGAAACCATTCAGACTTTCTTTGAGACACCATCAACTGTGTTCAACAAGGCACTAATTTCCTAGGTCAATACCTGAGCCACATGAGCGTGTATCAGGTGAAACACAAGTTGCTGAAAGCTAAATATCACTCTCAGTGTGATCTTTATTTTATCAATGGCAGTCTTGACATACGTATCATCCTTCTCATTAATAATATATCAAGTGGTGGAAGAAGTATTCAGAGCAGTAGCAATACCACACTGTGAAAATACTCCACAAGTACAAGTCCTGCATTCAAAATCTTACCAAAGTAGAATGAAGTATTGTTAAAAGAAAAGTACTCATTATGCAGTAAAATGTTCCCTGTCAGTGTTTTACTATTATAGTTGATGTTTTTGGTTTAATATTACTGCTGAAGATGTTTAAGGTTGATCTAGTTTTAACTACCTTAAATACTGTTGGATAGTTTAATCTATGGCAATGCATCATATTCTATAATCATCATATGTTTGTAGTGTGGCTGTCCTGGAAGAACCACGTATCTCTAAAAGCAGAATCAGAAGCAGGTTTATTGCCAAGTAAGTAATTCTCAAATGGACTACTCTCTGGAAATCTTCATCCTTCATCCAATTAACACAATACTATGACACTCAATACACACTACTGTAGGTTATTCTAATTTGGCATATTCTCACCTTAATCATATGGAAGTGGAAATCACTTGTGTTGACATTAACTTTGATATATTGGTAAACCACTGCAGCAGCGTAACCTTAGTGTTTCTGTTTGGGGCTTCAGGATCAGGTTCAATAATCTGTCCTCTCACTGATTCTGGACATGAATATCAAATAGAGACATAAAAGTTGAAAAACATTTTTCAAATATAAAGGCTTGGCTCTCATCACATCAAACTAAACTTTGGCCTCCACTAAGCAAAAATAGAAATAACCTCCATTCTTCTTACTCCACTGACAGAGGAGTACGTGATGAGTGAGAGAGGCCAGCAGCCATCAAAGGAACGTTGGGATGCTTCCCAGATTCCCGTCTCGTTCTCGCTCACTTCTCCGAGCAAAGAGTCGGATTTGGGGAATGCGGGAATCGTGCGAGGAGCCCCCAAACTACCATTGTGCTCGACTCCCTCTCTTTCTCTGCTCTTTTCTCAGCGAGCCAAACGGGAGAACGCCCGCGCTACAATGCCTCCCCTACTCCATCTCAGCTAAGCTGTCATTGGCTTCACATGAGAAACAATGAAACTTCATCGGAGACCAGATTACAAAAAGAGGGGGGTTCAATGTAAAAAAATTGTTCTGGGGGGGGGATTGTGGAAATAAAAAAGGCAAAGGCTTTTGTCTCTTTCTCTCTGTGGCCATTATCTTTTGGGAGGTTTGGGGATCTGCTTTCTTAGCCTCTGTCAGCGGTGCAGGGTAAGACCTGGGGTAGTACAACTGGGCTTTTGGCTGCCAAATCGCCCTAACCCTCTTTACCACTCTTTTTTTCTCCTCTCGTTCCTTTTACTGTTTTTAAAAAGAGCTTATACAGAGCATTTCTCTCTGTCTCTCTCTCCCCCCCCCCTCTCTCTCTGTCTCTCTGTCTCTCTCTCTCTTTGGACCCAGCTTGTTTAAATTGGCTGATAGGAAGGGATTTGGGATGGATGGAGGGGGCTTAGAGAAACGCAGAGTGGAGGGGTTGGAGGTGGGTGGGGGGTTGCAGAGAGTCATCAGTGTTACAGTCAAACAGCCATGAAAAGCCTATGAGGATGAAAAGAACAAGAGCGCTTTTTTATCTAATACACACAAATCCCATATAAATACTCCAGTATGTTAGTTGGGGTATGACAAGGAATGCCCCTCCATTACTTCCTCCCACCACCCCCCCATCCCACAATAATAGAGACGTGGATGGCTATATTTGTATGTATCTGTTTGTGTGTGTGTAAGACAGGCAGGGACAAAGAGAGGAATGCTTTCAGTGCGTCTTTAGTCACACTGTTTCAACATGTCATTCATAGACGAGTGTATTAAACAATCACTCTGAAACAGTGAGTTTCGTCTGCACTCTGGAGACCGAACCATGGTGAAAATGGACTCCGGTGGAGTTTTAAATGTGGCTCCCGGTTCAGTGTTGGGATCGCTGGAAGCGTAAGACCCGGAACTGATGTGGCTTTGACATTTGAAATGTCACTGGGAGTGAAGGCTTTTAGGCTGCAGCTGGGTCATTTGGCCACAGACGCTCTCATGCAATTCATATACAGACAATGGTGAATCACTGTGGGAGAGGAGATCACATGTACGACTAACAGTAAAACAGTGAATCATCTGCACAAAATCTGTCTGTGGCTTCATTTATAGCAAGTTGAACTAAATATTCTGTTTTTATTTAAAGCGGCTTTAATCAGTACTTTTATAATAACAATGCATCAAATGACAATGTAAAAGCTTTACAGTAAGTTTCAGCTCATTGTTTAGCTGTATGGGCCATAACTTTACTATTTTGGTTCACTCTCATGGTACTGTGTTCGGCTGCAGCAGGCAGCTGTAAACCTGCACCGCACACTACCTGCTCAGCACCAAACGGCAAACAGACTCAATTAGAGACTAGCTGGTGAACATAAAGAGCATTGAGCAGCTAAAGAACCAGATATTTCCCTCAAGAGTTACAGACTAAAACAGAGCTACAAAAGAGTGAATCTAGGACTTACATTCATCAGATGGACACAAAGATTAATAATAATAATGTTGCTCTGTAACTGCTGGATGAGTAAATAAGCAACTGTTTGCTAACAAGTTCACTATATCAACTTAAGATGGGATGATATGTCAATGTTGTTTTGACACTTCATTTGGATAGTCCACCTACAGATAGTTTATAGACTATTTGTAACTGTTTTGCTTTGTCTGTAGACGTTACAGATATATAACAGATTGTGTGACATTCATCAAGATAACCAAGATGATTTTGAGGTGTAAACCTAACCAAACCTAAAGTGTAACCCTTGTTTGTGTTTGTGTGTGTGTGTGTGTGTGTGTGTGTGTGTGTGTGTGTGTGTGTGTGTGCTTATCAGTAATAATGAAAATATAAATAAAATACTGATCTGTAACAAACCACACACACACACACACACACACACACACACACACACACACACACACACACACACACACACACACACACACACAAAGACAGTACATGTAACTCACTGTGTTGTAGGTGTGCCTGGGTACGAAGATCCGGTTGCACTCTGGTTCCTGTCTGTCTGTCTGTCTGTGAAGCTGGAACCACGTAACACAACATTTCTGCCTCTCCGAGGATCTTCTAGGACACACAAACACACACAGGGAGACAAGGATGAGTGACAGTTTTCTTTTACTTAAGAATGGAATAAAAAGGACGACCCGGTTTAAATTATTATCACCATTGTCTTCTGGTGACTGCGAAGGCCACAGCAGATGATTCACATATTTTTTATCAAACCATTCGCTGACCCCTCATATCCTGTAGGGAAGCATTTACAATCATTATGCTTCCCAACTCATTTATTCTGGTTTTTCCTTTAATTTGTAATTTGCCTCTATATTGCACACCCTTCTTTGCTTACCTGACAAAGCCTGAAGATCTCTGTGAGATCAAAATGCAGGCCTAGCACCTTGTCTGTTTTTCAGCCCCATAATCTGTCATCTCTATATGGTTCATGTCAAAAGCTGCATTTACGTGAGTGTAGGCTTTTGCCAATTTGGATGTCATGCCTTGACAATCTTGTTCCTGATAAACACGTCATGCCAGTAAAGTTTTTAGAATTGAGACAAGAAGTCAAGCAGTGATGGAGGTTGTGAGAACAGAGCAACCAACAGAGCTGAGAGGGGAAAAGAAACAAATGCTGGTTTCCTTCAACACACACCGAAGCTAACAGGCTTTCACCATAACGACCAAGAAAGCAGAGAGAGGAGGTGGAGAAGTGGATCTTCAGATAAAGCTCTTGTCTCTTTGCCCATTGAAAGGCCCTGCAGTCACATCAGCCTTTGTGAGGGGGAGACAGAATGATCAGGCAAACAACTTGGCTTCTCCTCTTGGCAAAATGCTACTCCAAAGAAAACGAGATAGAGAGGAAGAGAAAGAGGCCTTCCCTCGCACTTGTTCGCTACTCTGCCTCTCACAATGCCATATCTATCCAAATCAACACACTTGTCAGCCAGACAGCTATAAGCGATTTCCAATGCTGTTATAAAAGGGACCATTTCTAAGCTGAAATGTGTGTCCTCTATTGTGTGTTTATGTGTAGAAGCGAAGGCAGAATCTCTGTTCACCGGCGTTTACAATGGATGCAGATAAATATGAGAAGAGGAGCATAGAAATACGGTGCCTCTGCCCAATCTGATTCCAAGTCTACGACTGACGCTGATGCACCGCAAAAGACGTCCACCTTAAAGAACCACTTGATCTGGTATTGAGTCATTTTTTAGGAAATAAGTGAAAAATCATCCCAACAATATCATAAGATATGCTCTTCTTTCCAGTGTTTCTTCTTTCCAATGCAAATCAACTCGTTTCTATGATTTTTATGACGTGAAATCCAGGGTGGCGATGGCCTAGATCAGCTAATTTCACTCCTGCTCCTCAAGAAAACCACAGCTGGTTGGTTTTCTGTGCTACCAGAAAGTTAATTGCAGCTAATTCCAGGTGTAAAACAATGTCAGATTAAATGGCTCAGATGAAAACCAGCAGAGCAAAGAGTCCCGAGGACCAGAACTAAAACCAACTGACCTTGAGGAAAAGTATTATATATTCTTATTCCCTCTGTTGCTGAGAGTTAGATGAGAAGATCGATACCACTCTCATGTCTGTCTGTTAAATAAGATGCTACAGCCAGCAGCCAGTTAGCTTCTCATAAGGACAGGAAACAGCTACCCTGGCTCTGTCCAAAGGTAACAAAATCAATCTACCAGCACCTTTAAAGCTCAGTAGTTGACAGGTTTTATTCATTATAAGTGTAAAAACAACACTCTGCTGGTCCAGTATACAATTTATACAACTATGGTGTAGAAACTTGAAGCCGCCAGTGCACTGAGAATGCACATCTTGTGTCCAGCAGAAAAACTTTGCATATTCATAGATTCAGATTTGTTTTATTTAGATAGAAGGAGAAAATGCCTTTTTAAAAATTGAAAAGTATACTTTTTTTTTCCCCCGAAAAAAAACCTACAAGACACGCATTATTGTTCCAGCAGAGTATTTGTATACATGTCTTAATACATGTCGGGAGGGGATCTTTAAGTAATTACTCTGTGCTGTTGGGGTCAGAGCTGCAAGCAAATCCAGCCATGAACTAACAAATGTTCAGTTCATGCAGGATTCAGTGTGACCTACCGCCCATGTCACACCCAACTGCACACATACTGTACACATATTTACACAAACACATGTCTCCGAGGGCCATTCTGAATTTGACTTTTAGTGTGTGACAATGACTGAGAACAAACAAATTTCGTCCTGTTGTGTGTGTTCAAACTGAAAATTTGCACTGTGGGAAAAAGCACATGACTGATGACACAAGTCTATGTTTAGTCACTGCGGAAGGACTCTGACTTTATGTGTTCAAATAAATAGGAACTGCCACTTTTACAAATACAGTTATGAATTGTAAATGTAGATGCTATTTGTATTTCGACGGCAGGCATGATCATGATTAATTTGCAAAGCACGCAGGAATAACTGTAGGTTAGCACTGAATTCTCCACTGAGTAATGCTGATACTGACTTATTTGTTAGACACACACACTATAAGAGAGAACAAATATTTATCAGAGAACAAATATTAGTTTTTTGTTTGCTTGTCTCACTTTGAGGAGTCATGTTTGACAAGCTTCTGGATTTGTTTTAATAATGACATTCATTATTCTTCAGTTTTTACAAAATATAAATTTAAGTTAAACCAAAATAACATAATTTGTTATTTTATTATATGCTTTATCATTGTGGAACAAAACTTAATTAAACTAATCTTCACCAAAGCAAACTAGAAGGAGATCCTTTACTTAAGTAACACTACCAATACCACAGGGTAAAAATACTCACATGAGTGATGTATTATCATATATGACATTCAGAGATTTTGACTAATGCATCAATGTGCAAGCAGCATTTTGTAGTCATATCTGGTTGAGGTGGAGCTACTTTATATAAAACTGTATATACAGTTTGGTAGTTTAGTCCAGTGATTCCCAGCCTAGAGGTCGGGACTCTCCAAAGGGTCACAAGATAAATCTGAGGAGTCGTGAGATGACTAGTGGGATAGGAAAGTATATATATATATTATTAGTATACATTAGTTTGTATTGTATCTTTTGGACTTTGTCTAATCTTTGCTTTTTTGTGACATTTTGGATAATTTTACCTCTTTGTGCCTCAAAAACTTATTTAAAAGAAAACATGACAATTTTATAGGGGGCGTCTCAGTTGTGAGGCAGCTGGACTTGCAAGAAGACGAAAACATAAAATCACGCAATAATCTATCCTTCCAGGCTTCAAGCTATGTGCTAATCATCATTTTATATGCTTGTGTTTTTATGTAAAATCTTAAATCAGAAAAATAAGTGACTGCAGCTGTCAGACAAATATAGTAAAAAGTACAATATTTAAAATTCTTAAATTATTTAGAATATAGTAAAGTAGAAGTATAGAGTAGTATGTTCTTGAGAGCCAGAGCTGATCCTAGTGGTGTGTAATGGCCATGCCAGAGGCTGAGTATGTATGTGTGTGTGTGTGTGTGTGTGTGTGTGTGTGTGTGTGTGTGTGTGTGTGTGTGTGTGTGTGTGTAAAGCGAGACACCTGTTCACTGGAGCCCTCTGCTTGAAGCGAGCCACTCATTATTTATGACCTGGCTTTTCTGCTCTGTTAATATGCTCTGTCTGCTTGTACAGCACATACACACACGCACACACTTAGAGAGGGGCATCAGTTTAACCATCATCATCACTGACTGTGACACAGTGTCAATATCCTCTTCTTGAGTGTGTGTGTGTGTGTTTCCAAACATGCTTTCAAACTATCTACCATGTTAAATGTTGATGGCTGATTTGCATGTGTGTGTGTCTTTTGCTTCCTGTCTACACCAGAAGTGGGAATGCGTTGCATTGTGTAGGCAGATATCTTCTGCTTGTGATTACCTTGTGCCTACATTTGATCAAATATCTGATCAGTTTTATAATATGACATAGTGTTAAAGATTGCCAGACCTAGAAGAAATTGACTGACAAATATCAACCAGCTGGTTATGTTACAGCTATAATAGTTGTACTGATGGATCAGAATGTGTTGGTATATTGTTAGAGCAACATCATCAATCATATCAGGCTCTTTAGCTGCTGATTGCTCCACTATGTTCACCAGCTAGTTGCCATTTGGTGTGTTCCCAGCTCTGACAAATTTGTAGCAGGCGGTGTGAACTGATTAGGACTTTTTAAACAACAACTTTTCCTTACAATAGCCAGCAACAGTGACCGGACGTTAAGAGACAAAACCTGAAATATAACAAAGAAACAGGAAACATGCATCCTGTAATTTTTATAAATTTCACTAACTTCTTTACTCATTCATATTCTTTTTTTTCGATTTTCCTTTTCTTCGTTTATTTGTTTTTCTGTCCTTCACCTGCTTCTCCCAAATTTTATTTTATCCTTTTCTGTCTCTTACCCCTTCCTTGCTCCCTTTCCTAATTTCATTCCTCTTTCCCTGCTGTCATTCCTCCTTTTTCTTTCTCTCTTCTGTCCCTTCCTCCCTCTTTCTCTGCAGCGCTGTTGTCCAAGGATAGGACATGCTGCAGGTGATGGAGGTAAATCATCGAGGACATAATTAAGAGGCTTATGAGCAGGAGTGTGCGTGTTATGCATCACATTAGACAAAAAAGAAAAAAGAAACTGCATGCAAACAGGCCTTATAGTTACACAAACTCTCATTTTCATTCACAGACAAACACACAGACACTCAGCCTTAGGGGTTTGACCTTATACAGTGGAGTTAAATACCTCTCTCGCCTCATTTGGTTGTGTGCGAATACACACACAAACACACACAAGCACATTGCCTTCTGGTGTGTTTTAAGCACCAATGAAGGACTCATCAGACATGTTCATCTAGTTCCCTCACAAATTTGAATGTTTACTGCTCACCCGTTGGCTCTTGAAGGCTCTGTGAGGAATTGCGTGTGCGTGTGTGTAATCAGGAACTCGGCTTGATCCCCTCTGGTATGTGCTTTCGGGAGTGTTTGTCAAAGGGCAGCAGCACAGTCTGAAGTAATGACAAAAAAATGGGCTTTCGCTGGTTTCCCTCCCCTTGCTGGGTACTCCAGAAAACTTTGGTGTATTGCGTTTCATTAGTCTGATATTAAAGAATTTATAAAACAACTCTTTTTATTCAATTCGGGGGGAAGTAAATCTTCTTGTAGGGCCATCTACATCCCCCCCAAAAAAAGAACTGCAACTTACAACTACTCTTGAAAAAGATGTGGTGATTATGAAATGGTTGTCGTCGCTTTTTTTTTTACACTTTCTATTTAATTTTACAATTTTTGCATTAAAAACTTTTTTTCTGTATCTCACTTTCAATCATTATTTTAGATAACATTAAAAAATGGCAACAGATTTTGTGAATTTTACATGAATATTACTCGGTCATACATGATCTGATTTAATTCTCCTTTGTGTTATTAGGGTGAGTCTGAGAAAATACAGATGTCAAAAGTCTGTCAGAGTTGGTTATCAGAACAGCTCCCATTTAAGATGTAAGGAGAAATAACAAGTCACATTTGGTGTTTTTTTGGTTAGACATTATGATTATTTTCTTACCATTGCCTGCGACGGCCTGGGCCTCGATTTCATTAGCTTTCCTCTTGGCCACATCCGCTAGCACCAACTCGCCCTTATCGCTGGCAACATAATGGAGGTCCTTTGAAGGTAATGCAAGAAAGAAAGAAACGTGAACGTTAATCTAAAATGAATCTAGGCTCCGATGACAATAGAGTTTTTTTTTTGGAGGGGTGGGGGGCGGTGTTTTGGCGGGAGAAGGAAGAAACAGATGAAATGACAGAAAAAAATGAGCTGTTTGAAGCCCAACATCAGAAAGAGCACCGGTTGGATGAAATGCCGGTTTCTCAAAAAACTTTGAAATCAGCCCCCCCTCACACACACACACACCCTCGTCTCTCTGGTTTTGAACTAGGGAGGATGTTATCTGTCACATTTCAAAAGTGGCAGAGGAGGCGAGGGACTGTTCACCTTTCAGAAACGCTAGTATTCTCTCTTTACGGAGAAACATATCCAGCCGAGCACATTACTATATCAGCCTGCGACAATATTGGAAACAGCGTGTATTCTCTGTATCTCTCTGTTTGAGTCTTGCAGGGCCACAAAGAGAGATAATATTTCTAAATGATGTCTGAGGGTGGCTGGTTTAAAGCCCAACACTGCCATACTATTCATTAATAACCATATTGCATCAGACAGCTGTTCCTGTTTCAAGGATCTCTGGGCTACAAGGCGGAGGTCATTTAAATACCTAAATGGAAATTAATGTCAAACTGTAGTCTTAATAAATTCGACTAAATGCAACTACAATCTTAATTGTCATGTGAGGGACATGTACTGTGTCCCGTATCAATACTGAGCTAATTTTAAGCAGGTTTTGAGTATTTTAAAGGCTCCAGCAATAATCTTTATTATTAAAACAGAATTATACTGTTTCATGATGCAAAGTCTAAAAAGATCATATCCTGATATGAAATTGTACATAGTGAAATGTATACTGAATCGAAGGACCTCAGGACTATTCAGGAAAATTATTCAGGACTCAAATTATGACTAAATGATGATCTCAGCAGCACCAATGATGACCAATAGTTATACATTTCTCAGCAGCAGACATGAACAGCAGCATGATGGTATAAAACTTGGTCTTGTGCAGAAAGGTCACTGATTTGAGTCCCCCAGAACAGCTGCCCCAGTTGCTCCAGTGGAGCCCGTCAATAACCAGCAGTAAAGGCTGGAAATGTACTGGTGAGCTCCCAGTGTGAGAGTGCTGGTCTGAGAGGAAAGCAGGATGGTGAAAACATACATAATAATGTTGATAGTGCACAAATAAAAGAGAGAAAAATTTAAACTATACTATGTAAAAGATTGACTGAGGTTCCATTATAAATGTATAAGAAAGAACACTCATACTCTTAAACTACTTGAACAGTAAATCACTCTCATCCTGGCACCCACTGAGGGGCAACTCAGAGTCACAGGGTTTCCTTGGGCAGAGTGCAGGGCCTGAGGGCCCATCAAAGGGTACAGCGTGTTAAGGAAAGTCTTCCGCCTCAGCGACATCACAGGACATCAGTGCCGTGACTCAGGGCTCGCCATGGATAACCCTCAGCTGGCTAAAGCCAGCCCCCAGCTGAGCCTGCACCCGGCCCTAATACCCCCATATTGTAACCCAGCTTTTGTACCCCTAGAGTAAAAAAAAAAAGAGGGGGTGCTAGTTTCCAAAGGAGGTAGGGAGCAGAGAGGGATTGAGGCAGGGAAAGAGGGGGAGTAAAAGAGAATGAGAGAGGGGGACTGAAATTGAAGAGTATGAATGGGAACAGATTGGGTAATTATAGTGTGGTGCCTGCCCTCTGTGGCGAGGAGTTAGGAGGAAATGTGAAAATGGCCGACAACAAAATGGCCTCAAAAGAACCTAAATCGGCTCCCAGGACTGAGGTGGCTATATTCAGCCACTGTGAACGAGGACATGGCCCCTCAATTAGATATGAGTGAGGCTTCCTAATTGATAACAAACAGAGCAGCAGAAGATTAAAAAAGCGGAGGAAGAGTGGAGGCATTACAATGAACTGACAGTGAGGTGTGTGAGTGAGAGAGAGGAAAGAGCAGAAAGAGAGAGAGGAGATGTGAAAAAGACATAAAAGACGTGAGGAAGGCAAAATTCACAACAAGGGTTTTCATATGAGAGAGAAAGTGAGAGAGAGCAACAGGGAGAGAGAGATTGTATGACAGACAGAACAGAACAATATGAACATTTGATGCCGGGGCGCTTTATTCCAGCTTAGCTCCTCATAATACTGTCTGAATCTGGAGAGAGGGACCCAGAGAAAGAATAAACGAATGAACAAACGTGAAATGAGAGAGGCAGAGAGACAAACTGAATACTGAAAGAGAGAGAGAGAGAGAGAGAGAGAGAGAGAGAGAGAGAGAGAGAGAGAGAGAGAGAGAGAGAGAGAGAGAGAGAGAGAGAGAAGAGTATCAGCCCGACTAAGAAGGGATAACAATAATACTGCATATAAAACCATCAGATATTACACCTCTTATTCCCCGACGCTCAAACGCGACACTAATCTTATTTATATAAGAGCTTTAGGGGTTGCTGCGCCTGATAAAGAGGGGTGTTTTAGTGGGACATTTTTGGGGAGTAAGGGGGAGGGGAGGGGGGAGGTGGTGGCCGCTAAGAGCCCGATATTGACCGATATTTGGGTTACCTCCAAATAAATGAGAGATTAGGTTAACTGGCACACAGCAGTGCTTACGACACATTACGACACGGGCTCATGTCTGTATGTTTGCAGTCTGCTGTCAAACAGGATCGATGGGAAGTACATATGTGAACGCTCAGTGTGGATTTGCACTTTTTTCTAGCTATTATGTGCACAGAAAAACGTACTACTGAGTGATAAGAAGTATAAGCCGTATATAAACCATCTGCAAAGACGGAAAGTTTGACCTTTGTGATTTCTGACCATGATTGTGGAAAAGGAGACCGCAATACCTCATTAATCTTTAATGTTTACAGAATCCCTGGAGCTATTTTGTGATTACTAATTGTGATTTTGATGCACACAAAAATTCCCTCCCAACATCACAGAGAATAGGAAGCAACTTGTTGCCCTTGGTGATAATGCTATAAGTGTTATGGCAGCAACAGCAACATAGTTGTGTCTGACAATATGTGGCTATACTGCAATCTTGTCTAATACATTTAATTCTGACTGTAGAGATGTATCCTGTATCCGAAATCAATCGCCATTTGCAGCTTAGTGAATGTTTACTAGCTACTGTTGTCCAGATTCTTTTTTTATTTTATTTTTATAGATCTTTTTAAAAACAAAATGAGTGGGGTGACATGGTCCACACAACATTTGAAAAGGAACACAGTGTTTCAATTACACCTACATTTCAATTCAATGTAATGGGTTACATCTTATAGGCATACATATATACATATATATACAGTCAAATTTTGAATTTTTAAAACAATTTTTTTGTATCATAGTGTTAAAGTAAATTGTAATTTCTCCATAAGTAGAAGTATAAGACACAGTCTTAGTCTCTGTGTTTCTTCCACGATGTATTTCTCCCTTTATGATAAAATAATAGCATCAAAAGGCGGATCTAGAGAGAAGTCTTTGCTCTTTGATTATAGGGGACGGACATCAAATCCTCATCATTACTTTTGAAGTTTTTAGACTACATTGCAACCCTTGGAAATATCTCAGGAAAATGTCACATCATCTGCATTTCTATACCCAGGAACAAGGAAAATACACAAATAACAATTAGTCTGGAGAATTCAAAGCACATGTTTGGTACTATAATGTATTTTGCTTTGCCAAAAACATACAGTTGAATCAAATATTGACAAGGAGACTGGACACAAATCCACATAGGCACAGGCATGCAAACATGAAAATACATATTCACTAATTAACATATGCATAATCCCTGGACATGAGCACATTTGCTGAACCTGCACACAGGCATGCAAACACGGACACACACTTGTTTTCTGACACACCTGTTATCCAGGAGCCTTGTGTTTGACTAACACTTCTATCAGATAGGTGTTAAGGACTTAACATTTTAATAACGCTAATTACTCATCTGAGCGACAACAATGAGCTTATTGCCAAAGACGTGCGATACCTCCTCCTCCTCCAGCGCCCGGCGTCAGATTGGGGAGGAAGATAGGGGGTGAACCCAACAGACGCAGCTTGCCTTACTGCTAGCGTATCTAACAAGAAACAGTACAAGCCCTCATTGGGGAACAAAAGAACCGGCATCAGATTCTGCTATCACACAATTTGATTTAATTAACGAGCTACATGAAGAGCCAAAGACCCAGAAAGAAGAAGAAGAAGAAGAAGAAGAAGAAGAAAAAGGGGAGGGAGGTGGGAAAAAAACTGTCGCCAGCTTGACTTGGCTGACGAATGACCTAATTGGTTACATTATCAACTCATTATCAAAGGCTAATTAGGGAGCTACAGAACAGCACTAATTATAAAAAAAAATGCAAACGACTCAGTAACCCCCTACTACTACCTCTACATATACCCCCCCAACCTCTACCTCCGCCAAAACACCCCCCTACCACCAATTCCTCCACCCCCTCAATTTAGCCTGACACTGAAGTGTTTCAATTTAACAAAAGGTTTCTTTTTTGAAAAAAACAAACAAAAAAAGGCTTGGAGGGCCTCTATTGTTAGTTGGGAAACAATGGGGCTTGAAGGGGTGGGGGTCTGGTGATGGGTATCATGCTGAGCATTTCTACAAGAGGTGAGGGTGTGCACGTTATCTATGTGTGTGTGCATTTTATCAAGTCGATGGTGCGTTATTGAGTTTTGTAGGCAAGTTAGGAAGTAAGAAAGAGTTCGGTGAGGGTGGGGGTTGCCCTCATTAACCCCCTCCACCTCAACTCAATCAGCCAACCAGCAGGTTAAAGCAACAACACAACCTAATTAAAGCGAAGGACAGAGCGAGGGGTGAAATGTCAATGTCCTCTTTTTCTTTCTCCTTCTCTCAGACTCTTTTCAGATGATGAGTTGCTGCTCTCTTGGTCGTTGAGGCAAAAAAAAGGCTTGAAGACACTCATTGTGAGTGAGAATTAACTTTGTTACAGATCTAGGATCAGAAGTATTTGCTATTATCTGTTGTGTTTGGTGAGCCACGTATATGGACACCACAAAAGAGTTCACAAATGCTTTCTAATTTCATCTCTTAAATCTGTTTGTATCAAATGTATAAGAGTAAAACAGCAGAATCAATCATGTTTCATTTGGTCTTTAACTGTGTTGCATTCTAATTCATCTTCAGCATGATAATATTTTTACATGTGAGAAGAGCTTGAAAGGATGTCACCTGTACAGTTTTAACACTACACATGTGGTTTGATTTAAAACAGAAAATCAAACAACACATGCTGGCTGTCAGGTGTAGTATTAGAGCCACAGGAGCGGGGATACATAGCTCTCAAACAACTGAAATGGACGAGTGAATTGGCCCCAGAAGTGGAAAGGTTTTGTAGTGTTGGAACTACTGGAGAGTGAAGTACTAGTTCTGGATAGCATTGCACCAACTTCAAATACTGTATGTTGTAGTGATCCAAATTATTTCTGTGATTCCTTGTAAGGGCGCTTCCTTTTTTTAAAATTTTAACTGTGCCTAAAATGCTGGCTTACTTTACATCATACACCATTGAATTTCACACAAATGACCTCAATTACTCAACAAATCCCAAATTGTTCTATTGTGTTGCATACAAAAGATTGAAAAGATAATGAAAACTGAGAAAAGCAGTAATTGTAGTGGAATGTTTTATGTTTTATATTTCAAATTTGTCAGTTGCACTTTGTTTTCTAACCTACACACTGAGAATAATTTTCCTTCCACTTCCATCTCTGTGCTCACCTTCTGTTTCTCTTACTCATCTCTTGACGCCTCAAAAGTGATAGACCAAGACCTTGTTTGATTCCTCTCTCGCCTTTACTCTCTTTTTTTTTGCATTTGTCATATAGCTTTCCATCTACACCACTGCCCCCTCCTCTCCGCCCCCCCAACCCCTTCCTTTGCGCTCTTTCAAGGTCCACAGGCTCGACTCCACCTTTTCAATTCGGCTTCCCAGCAGCACTACTTAGTGGGGAGGTAATTGGAACCAGTGCTATCAGTGTGATTGAGGGAGCAAGAGGTGTGTGTGTGTGTGTGTGTGTGTGTGTGTGTGTGTGTGTGTGTGTGTGTGTGTGTGTGTGTATGGGGGTCTGTATTAATGTCTAGGGTGTTGGTGAAGCATGGAGCAAAGGGGGCCCCATGAAAAAGGGGGTCAAACACATAGAAGAGCATTTCAGCGTGGAGTGGAAGAAAGAGCGAGTTAGAAGGAAGATGAGGGGAGAGGAGAAGGCCGAGGAGAGGCCATGGAGGTTGTGAAAAGATAGGGGCCCATACTGAGATCACACCTGCTCTCTGACACACACACACACACACACACACACACACACACACACACACACACACACACACTTGTATGGGTTACAAGACGTGCAAATAAAAGCAGAGTACACAATGACTGAACAACAAAATAGGTTGTGTAGTATTATTCCTGTAAACATTTACTGTGTGTATCTTCATTTTTATTCTCTCCAATAAAGGCAATAATATCCCTAAAATTTGCTACATTTGCAAACATATTTAACAAAAAATTACAACTTTGTTAAAAAACATATTATACAACTTCAACACAACTGCATAAATAAATGTGTCCCAGCCTATCAGAGGAGTTTCCATGTTTTCCTTCCCTAACCTGCCTGTAGTCACAGCACACCTGGGTGTTGAAGATGTGTATGTGATGTGTGTATTTGGCTTCTGCTGGGTTCACCAAGTTAAATTTAAGACCTTTTTAATACTGCACAGAGCGCATTTTAATACGTTTCATGACCATACTGGCCAAAGAATGAAAGTATGATGGAAAACCTGAACATGATTTATTTATTATTATAATATACTTTGAGTACTTCCCAGGCGTATGTAACTGTAACTTCTAATGATAGAATTAAATTAATGCAGCATGGATCTGTATAAGTGATGTAAAATGGATGGATTGATTAACCAATGATACATTATTTTAGGTGTTATGGGTGAGATGATGCCAAATTCAAACTCCACAAAATGGATTGAACAGCCTCCTGCATGAACGATCCACTGTCAAAACAATCCCACTTTTAGATTGATTAAAAGCCTGCAACCATTTATATTACAACTAACATTACCGCCTACAGCGGGTAAGAGGAAGTATTTAAGACTTTTGTAAACTAAATCTAAGACTTTTTAAAACCTTCTGAGGAAACTGAATTCACTGCTTTTTAAGAATCTTTAACACCTGCAGAAACCCAGCCAGTTGGTGTTATATTTGATCAATGTCGCAATACTGAAATGTAATTATGTAATTTGAGTAATTTTTCCATTTTTCTTTCATTATATTAGCTGTTCATTTGTGCTCACAGCATTATAAATTCCTGGATGGACTGACTTAAAAAGACTTTATTTGTCATTTAGATTTGCATCAAAATGAAATTACATATTTTTCATTATAAAAAGATCCTATAGTGGATTTTACTATAAGATCAGTAACCTTTTTGTCAAAGTATGTATCACATTTTTTTTTTCAAGAAAGCAAGTTTAAATGGAATTTACTTTCAACTCACCATGAATAAATCGCTGGCTTTTAAATCTACAGCGAGGAGGAAGGCCTTCTCAAAGCGCTGGTGTCTGCAGAGAAAGTCAAAACAGTTAAAAAACAACATCCTGAAAACAAATCATCAATCTAAAAACACACACTTTGTTTAAATATATATATATATATATATATATATGGATAAATCAGTAGTATATTTGCTACTTCCTTTAGTCTGCAAACAGACACATACCTCAATCCACACACATCCACACACACCTCTGCGTATAAAACTGTCAATAATTGAACTGAGAGTAGCAGGTCTTCTTCCTATTATCCAGAATTAAAGCTGAGAGAGAGAGAGCTGTATCTCCCAGTACAAAACACCTCAACTTTCCCTGTCTAGAGCCAACATGAAACAAACAAACACAAGCACAGAGAGGGGGTGTGGGGGGCTTCCTTCATTTGATGTCGATGGAGAGAAAAAGAATGCAGGTAGGTGATAAGAGAGGAGAGGAGAAGGGATGCCAAACAACGCTCCTGCGCTGCTACAGAGGAAGAGAAAGAAAGAGAGAGGAAACTGGAGGTAATTGCAGGATGGAGAGCAGTAAGCAGCAGTGTGTGGGAACAACAGGGTCTATTTCAGTCAAACAGGCATTTCAAAAGGCTCTCATGGCAGAAGGGAAAATGAAACAACAGTCTAAACAGGTGCATGTGAGGTGCTTTGCCTTATGAATGACTCAAAGCTGCATCAGTGTGCGTGCGAGGAAATTCAAAAGCTATTTCCTTTTTAGAATTTTTAAAATAGCAATAGTGAGCGTCAAATAAGCAGTATTAAATTGTATCTTCAATGGATGTCATTTTTTGGACAGTATTTCTTGTTCTGCACCCGGCGTTGCTAAAATGAATAAAATGTAATGCTAATGCCTTAAAAATAGTGATTTATATTTTAATTACTGATCTGTAGCCTGATGGAGGAACATACTGTTTATGTATTTAAATGCATTTAGCTCCAAGAGTGCTTTAAATATAGCTGACTTTGACCTCCCTGAAGAGTTACGTAAAACAAATTTGTCCCTCAGAAGATCAAATTAGGACCACAGCAACAGCAAAGAGTAGGTGGTGGTGGTAGGTTACCTGAGGAGGTGGTGAAAAAAGCGCCGTGCATACTTGCTGATTGGCTCTCTGTACTCAAGTATCACCATATTGGAGAGAGGGGCAGGTGGGGCATAAAACACACCCAGAGCCGCTTCTAGTTGGGCTATGGACAAAATAGAAACAAACACACAATGAATTAAATAAACAAGAATAACATTAATAGGATTTTAGTACCGTCTTTCACTGTTTGCTGATAACCAAGTATTCTATTATATTTTAAAGATACTTCTTATTATATTTGAACTTTTCAAAGAATTGTGCATCCAGAAGAGGAAGTCTAATTCACAAAGTGCTATTTAACAGCAAAATTTAAAGGAAAATGAAAGCTAAATAAAAATGGTGGAAGTAGAATATATTTTTGTTTACTTGTGACATAAATAGCTCTGGACTATAAACCTCTAGGCTAACATTAGTAGCATTTTTCTCTTAGCAGCAAATTCACACAAAACTGACGTGCTTCGAAATTGACTACTCAGGTGTGATTCACACAGTGAGATTACTCTAAATTTACAAAAATATCTGTAAAACTAAAGCCAATCTAACATGTGTTTGACTCAGAGACCCACCCTCTCTTTCTGCATTCAGCTCCAGCCTCAGCAGGTGGTTGGTGACCGAGCTCAGGCCTCGGTAGCACTTATCTCCCATGATGCTCCAGTCCATGGCCTCCAGGATGCCGAGTGCCTCTCTGACCTGGCCACAACGCAGCCGCTGCTGCAGAAGCTCCCCAGGGCCCATCTGGCCACCAGTCAGAGCCCCTGTCAGGATGAGTCAGAGTTTGGTTTTAGTTTATTACATGAAATAAAGCAACATCAAAGGAAGGATTAAAAAAGATCCAAATCAAGAGTTAAATGCAGCAGGATCTCATCAATTTTACGATACGCTTTTTATTTCTTGGTTGTTTTTAACTATATATTTTAACCAGATCTTAAGTTATCAGAGAAACAAGATGAACAAATGTTAGCAGCCCCTCCATTCCCCAGGATGCCCTTTGTCTGCCCAACAGTCTCAGATACACAATGATTGTTAAGGTAAAACTGCTTTATTCAGTGTTTTTACCAGTTTTAATCACCAGGTCTGTTTGTTTTGGAGAGGAGGAGGCCTCTGTGGATAACTCGGTAGAAACCTTCTGAGCAGGGAAGCTGACTTTACTGACACCAACGGTGGTGGAAACAACAACTCCAATGAGCCCATGCTACTTCTCAACGTCTCAACTTTATCTTTTATTATTGTTTTGATGTCCGAGACCCCCTAGCAGCGGTCACGTTTTAAAAGAAAACTGACTTATTTTGTGATAAGAAGATATCAGATACAAATTATTATTCAAAGTATAGCAGTTTATATACATGTTAAAACATGTCTGGAAGGAATATCTAAATTTTAAAAATATATATAACAATTCTTTAAATTGTAAAACATTCCTGTGTTATGAAACCAAAATGTACATGGAGCTTAACTACAAATCTGTCAAAAACCTTTTTGTCCATCCATCCATGTCAGACCCTCTGAAGGAAGTGTGTTTATTTTATTTTTTGTTATTTATTTTCTTTATTCAATTTTATCTGATTTATTTTACACTTGGTTGTGTTGGAGAACGTTGCTCAGTATGAGTTGATATTGTAACTGTTGACACACATTTTTATATTCATGCTTTTTTTTGGGTTACATTAACACACTATATTTACATATCCTGGAGCACCTACTTAAGCTAAGTAAGTGACCAGTGGATGGGCATAAACTCTGAAGCAGCATGAGATCAGTTGGACTAGCACTGACTTGTCAATTAGCTGTTTAATCCCTGGAGTACACTCTGTGTGTATCTGTATCTTTGTGTAAAAGCAAAATGAAAACAAGGTTTTTCTCATCACCATCTATTTAAACACATCTGACAAATATTGAGCATACAATTTGTTCACTTATGTTCAGATCATTTGGCAAAATTATATTTTTTTCTGTAACTTTGCCTGAGACCGTCTGTTGAGAGGAATTATACCACTGACTAGGCCTTTTGACCAGAGCTGATTAATTATACTTTTGTTTGTGTGTGTGAGAGCACATTAACACTCTTCTGAATAATAGAAGGTTTTTTAGCCTTCCCAATAGCAGAGGTGTGTCCTTCTGTGTGTAAAAGGGCAAAGGTGCATGTGTGTTTGAGGCTTTGTATGGTAGCCTACACATCCGAGAAGTGAAGGTGTTGAATGCCAGGGGTGATTATTGTCCATTGTCACTTAATCACGATGGTGCAGCAGTCAAAGGAATCGTTAACATGTTTTGGGAAAGGCTGTCGCGTGTGCCAAAGAGGAGGAGCACCAAACTCAAATGCATGTCGCCATACATGACGGGTGTGTCCAAACTTGAATTTGAAAAATGCTTGAATTTTTTGAAAATGCTGACATTTTCCACATAATGCACGTAATATTCTGCTACGATGTAGTTACGCTTACATATTTACCAAAAAAAATTTGGACATAGCTAGTGGCACAGTTCTGGACAGAGTAGGTGATCATTGACAGCGACATTGTCAATGGGCCAGACTGCAGGCGACCAAAGTCACCACTGACTCTTGTCTAATTAATTGAAGAAGTTGTGTGTGTGTGTGTGTGTGTGTGTGTGTGTGTGTGTGTGTGTGTGTGTGTGTGTGGTGGGGGTGTATGTGTGTGGTGGGGGTGTATGAGCAATTAAAATGACAAGCTGGCAATTAGCAAGCCCCCAAATCCCCTAAAGAGTGGGCTAATGTGGCTAATACATCAGCTGAGCATAGTGTGGTTTGTGTGTGTCTATGTTTATGTGTGTGTGTGTGTGTGTGTGTGTGTGTGTGTGTGTGTGTGTGTGTGTGTGTGTGTGTGTAGGGGTCCGTGAGCTGGGCGTTAACGTCTGGTCTAAGCTAACTCTGAGCAGAGACAATGGGTCATTGTGTTGGCAAGGACAAGTCAGTTCTCTTCCACACCTGTCTACACTAACTTATTTGACCAGCTCAGTTCAGCGACACATAACAACACAGAGCAGGACAAGACCAGCAGCAACGGAGAGTTTGTACTCATACTGTGCACCATCGACACGACAAGTACACTTCAGAGACAAAACTACTGACAAAGAGTTCAACTCAAAGGACTATGATGATAGTTAAGCATTAAATATGAAAGACTTTCCCATAAAACTGTGACAATAATTAAATAAATCACAGGTAGTTTTAATTCTGTGCAATGTGTCCCTTTTTCAGAAATGAAAATAACAAAAAATTAGGGATGAGACTAGTTAATCATTTAATAATAGATATACGCTGCCAAACTAATTGATTAAAAGCCTTAAATCTGATTATTGCCTTGGACAGACTTTATAAATGAGCTCTACATCCAAAGTAGCAAGCAGCAGCTTGTGCAGTGTAGGAGAGAATCCACCTTTATGTTACCTTGATGCCTGCTGAGTAAATGTTTTTCTGCTTTAGTATGTAACCAAAATAAACATCAAATAAGGATGCATTGGCTTGGGCTCTCATTCTTCACTAGTTATATCCAGTTACGTAATTCTTCTTTGAACATCAATAATTTTTCAGTAAATTCCCATCCATACAAAAAAAAATTTTTCCTTGCGTGTCGTGCAGCACATTCCCTGGTCTGCCCTTCCACAGCCTGTACCGGTGCAGGCCCAGCCGCGGCCAACGTGTGCCCAGATGAGATAACTTGGTGCAGGCAGGAGGGTGGGGGTGGGGGGGCACTAGGGAGGGCTGCCTCCTATGGAAAAAAGAGAACTTGGAGCTTGGCCAAGTCTTTCTTCCTCGCCGCCTCCCGACTCACTCCTTCTGTCATGTAGCGGGCCTTATGAAACAAGTCAATACAGAGAAGGAGCGCAAGCAAACAAACAAATGAGTTGGAGTGTGTGTATGTGTGTAGGTGTGTGTAGGTGTGTGTGTGTGTGTGTATGTGTGCATAGAAGCACAGAAATAGAAGAATACACACACGTGTTTGTGGGGGGAAGAATTATCATGGAGAAAAGACGTGCAGTGACTTTCTTCATCAAAACCTTGGCAGACGATCAGAGGAGGGGAAGCTATTGTTGGAAGACACCCTCCCCTTTCCCTGTGCACACAGGCAAATGCAGTTGAATACACACACTCAAACACACACAATCTTCTACCTTCCTCCATCCACCCCCACAGTTTCAAACTTCAGCAGAGAGCTGCGTGCCACTGTCACATCTTCTTTCCAAAGTCACAATTAAAGACGCTGAATGTGTGTATGTGCGAGTGTGTGTGAGACTTTGAGTGTGTTTGTGTATGCCTGTGTTAGAGGGTGAGGTGGCTGCTTCGGAAATTTTTTGATTGGCAAACTTTATCTGAGGGCCCCGAGGGACTGCGCAGCCACTGTAAACGATTTATCGGAAAAATGCATCCCAGAATGCACCTGGGGGGCTCTTGCCCCAGGGCGATTATTGAATGACCTCTGAGAGCGTGACTCCTGCTAACCTTCCTGCCCGTCAACAAATTAACTTCCCTCAGCAGTGAAGAGGTCGACCCGTTCAGCAGCCATATTTACACAGTGGGGTTCAGATACAGTGTCAGATCCAAAACAGAGGAAGAGTCTCTGAAGGGAGGAGGGCGCCTTCATTAGGAAGCGATGACGATGAGTGAGCGGAAGGTTTGGCAGTTATTTTCTGTTTAGTTTCTATCGGTACAGTCTGTCCCTGAATGCTGTGTTCAATAGCTAAATCAAAGTAGTGTAACTGCATCGCTCTAAGACAGCATTATCAAAGGCTAGTTTATGTAGCTTCCCAGAAATTCCTTTTACACATACATCTCTATATTACCTTACAGTGGTATAGAGACTGAACTGTTGGTTCAGCAAAACAAGCGATCTGAAGACATGACTGTACTGTTTTATGGCATCTTATAGATACAGAATAAATCAGTTAATTCAAAACTAATCAACAGAGCAATCAGTAAAGGAAATACTTTTTAGTTGAGGCTCAATGTTGAGTTTTGGTTTCTACTCCACAAATATTCCAAATCTCACTGTTCACACATTGTGTGCTACTAGTCCTTGTAAGAGTGCGGTCGACCATATGGTATTACTGAATCTTATTTTACCCACCTAGTCTGAACCTCAAGGCTGCTAGTGGTCCTCCATGAAAGGCCAACATCAGGATATCAGTCCCCTCTGGGCCTCCTTCCAGGCTGGTCCCCCAGTGCAGTCCCTCCAGGCCTCCACCACAGCGCAGGTGCTGAGCTAGTCTTAGCGTGGCAGCTGAAGCTACCTCTTCTGCTACCAGTGCCATGCTTACAGGTGCCAAGCCCACATCAAAGCACATCAGCTCCCCTTGCCCTGCCCCTACCATGACCATGGCCCCAGCAGGATGCCATGCAAGGAGGGTGGGTGGCACAGGGCAGGAGGCCAGGAGAGAGACCCCCCGTCGCTGGTCATACAGGACTAGGGAGGAGTCACTTAACCCCAGGAGAAGTGTGGTCTCATAGGGGTGACGTGAGCAGGAGACAGGATGGGACGATAGCGGGATGCGGGTGATAGACAGGCGGTGCAGGCGCTCTCGTGCACATTCATACACACAGGCGTCAGCCCAAGACCCCTCTTTGAATTCTTGTGGTCCTGCAGGTAGCTCCACCGTTAGCAGCTGGTACGGCTGGAGCAGGCTGAAGCGGCAGTCCAGGGGATTGCCTTCTGTCCGGACAGAGCTAAGGACCTTTCAGAGGGAGTGAATGTGGAGAAGAGAATGATTTCAGAGTGTTCAGCTGATGCACACTTTAACATCCTCCCTATAAATCTGATCTGATCTAACAATGCACAATAACATTACCTGTATAAACTTTTTTTCGCTCCTCTGGGTAGGAACATGTGTTATGGCACATTCAAACCAAAGATGATACCTTATGACACTTAAGAATTTATTCATTTAGTTTAAATACATCCACTTACTGAGCTTCAAATCCTGTTGAATGAGTAACTTTGGTGATTTGCTGACCTTCTTTCTTTCATCTGGTCAAATTTTCAATTTGTTCAATACTTTGATTCAGGGTCTAAAATTGATACATGCCAAGTAGTGATGCGCGGGTCAGGGTTTTTTCCAACCCGCGGGTACCGCACTTATTTAATAATTTGACCCGCTCCATCCCGCCCCGCACAACCGCATCTATTTTCACAACCCGCCCCACCCCACCCTGCCCCGCCGCTATTAAATACACGTTAAATTTGTACTTAAATAAGGCTTTTATTTGGTCTTACAAATGTGCTTGAAAACAGCCTTTCGAGTGGCACTGGAAACTGGCAACAATAAATTCAAATCTTAATAAAAATAAATATATATATAGGCGCTTTTGTGACGTCAGGTCGCAGGTGGATTTACCCAACAGTGTTGTTAAGAAGTAGGCTGTATTGGACATATTTAATCCTTAATGACCCGCCCCGCCAATAAAGTTTCTTGACCCGACCCGTAACCTGACCTGCGGGTTACGGGTCGGCCCGCGCATCACTAATGCCAAGCACCAATATAGGTACATTTTGTGTTTGGCAGACAAATAAATTGGGGTCACTAGCCAAGTGGCCGGTAAATAATTGAGAATCACAGTCTTTTATGTGTACCAGCTGAGACTAATGTGACCCCCACTGTCCACTGTACCAAATAGACACAGCTTACTACTATTTGGCGCTCTCTACACAATATCTGTCTATGTTTTTGCCATAAGAAACATCTGTGTTATTACAGCAACCATAAAGAAAGGAGAGAGAGTAAGGGGATTACATGCAGCAAAGAGCCACAGGTTAGAAACGAACCCAGGCCACTGCGGTAAGGACAGGCTTTGTGCATGGGGCACGCTCTACTAAGTGAGCTATCAGGTACCCCAAAAAGGGAATTCTTTTTAGTCAAATAATGCATGATGCAGTTTTATGGCCAGTAAAAAATTATTTACATTGGTAGATGACCCAAAAAGTTAATTTTGGACTTATGACTAAATACTTGCAAAACTAATGACAATTCCATCAGCCTCAGTATTTGGGCCATTACACAAACTGTAGCAAACTGATGGAGAATAAAAAGAAAAAATTAGTCAGAATATTAAGAACTGAGGAGCACAATATAAGGAGGTGAAATTATCTGGGAGACTCCATGTTGAGAAACTTTAAGGTTACTGTAAACTTTCAATTTTGATACTGGAGTGGGACGAAGGAGGATTCAACCTGTATCCCTTCAGTAGTGTAGTTTGTATAAGCAAAAGAACTGGAACTTAATCTCCTAATTGTGTTGTTGTTTTAACATGTTCTTCTATTTAGGAATTGGAAGGTGCCGATTTGTGCCAGTACAGTTAATGAACAAACCTGTTTTTGAATAAAAGAAGGATATGAAAGGCGAAAGAACATGTCAGAGAAAGACAGAGACAGAGAAATGAGTCATACCATGGCAGCAGCCCCAAACCCCCTGGAGATGGAAGAAATAGAGCCTTTCACTTTGCTCATAAACACACGGCTGTCAATCAAGACAGCTAATGATAAGAGCTCCATTTTAACTCAAGGTCAACAACATCTTCTCCCTGAGCATGCCACGGCTTGGCACCAAGCACCCAGCGATAAACAACCCCCTCTGTTTACCTGTGTGAGAAGCCAAGAGCTCAACACTAGACATGGTGAATGACAAGAAATGAGCCCTTTTAAATATTAAGAGGATGATGTATGAAGAAAGCTTGGAATTATTTGACCTATGGTCAAATCCAAAATTTAGATTATTCGGTCCTGAACTACAACCAGTCTGTGGGAGTGGGCACAATAGCCCTGCTAAGCAAGCAAGCATTGACACTGACGGAGATAGGCCGTGCCACGGGTGGTACTGTCGATAAAACACCCACAAGGAACCAGGAACAGTAGGTGGATGACAGGAGACAACAGCCTGTATAAACAGCAGCCCGACAGTTCCACAGTCACTAACAGAGCTTTTTAGGAGGGATTTCACCTTACCAAAGCCTCTATCAGAGCCCTGCATTGACCGTGGCAGCTTTGGCTAAATGAGCCCATTTCTTTTCGCCGTGCAGACAGAAAGAGGGATCTGCTGCCTGCCTGCCTTCCTTTCCTTTCACAAAGCTGCCCGGCCCAGTTTTTTGGCAGGCATTGCCAAAAAGGGACTTAGAGGGAGGAAGAGAGGAGTTTTTTTGCCTGCCCATGGTCTACAGCAGATGACTGTCCTCCTGAAAGCTTTTTTCCCTCTCCATAATCCCCCAGAGCTAGCTCCTGCTGCTCCCCAGGGGGTGGGTGCTGTGTGTGTGTGTGTGTGTGTGTGTGTGTGTGTGTGTGTGTGTGTGTGTGTGTGTGTGTGTGTGTGTGTGTGTGTGTTTATTTGAGGCAGCAGGCAAGAGGGGCTCAATTCATGTAAGAGGTGGGGTATCCTTGGAAGGGTGCGGTTCTCTGGATAGCTACATGTCTGTGGGGACAAAGTGGCACATGCATTAAATAAACTTGCACACAAACACATAGCAAGTGAGGGTCCATAGAGTCCATCCCACAGAATGCTGTCACAGGAATCGCAAGACCTACTTCAATTCCACAAACCCTGACCCCCCAACCACATCTCATCCTCTCAGCTTTTCATCCTGTGCCCGGCTCACTAGTGCCCGCTGTGCCAGCATGCCACCGTGGCACCATCAGGGATGAGGTGCAGCTGATTCAGCTCTGTCTTCCCTGATAGTTGACCCTCCAAGGAAAGGAGAAGGGGGACAGTGTCAGCTACAGCTCAGACGAAATTAGTAAATACTGCATGGCCTAATTCAACCTGCAACAGCCAATATTTTAAAGAGTTCAAGACCAATTCATGTTCGGTGTTGTTCTTATTTTATTTTAAACAAAACCCCACATATGATGTGGTGGAACACATGTATAACCCATGTCTACAACTGAGTTTATTAGTCCAGGTGAGGCCTCGTTGCACTGACATTTAAGGGTTAAATTTAAGATCCTTTAATTCATATTCAAAGGGCTTCAGTTTTAGATATTCACACCCAATATTCAGCAGGTAAACTCAAGCCACATGATGTGTGTTGTGTACTGACTTTGTTGAGCACTCTATCAGATCAACTGGACCTGGACTTTAAATGTCTAGCTGGAGTCCCTTTTGAATGTTTGGTAAAAGTACAGTACTCAAAAATACAGTCACAATATTTACAGCAGCATTTTTACTCTGGGTCATTTTTATGGGCGCGCTGTACCTCGTGTTACAGCCCATGTGGACTGAGCAAAGGCAAGCAAAAGGCCCCTGAAGGCAACACAGCTGATTAGGAGATTAGTGAATGGCACTCAAGACTTTCAGGGTTATGAGGTTTGAATCTTTCAAAACAAACTCTGGAACTGCAAACACTCATGCTAATGTGAGCATGATGAGATATCAGACCAGTGATGACATATAGATTTATCTGCAGAGGATTCATGTATGAACTCTTATAATCGGTTGTTTAGCTAATCAGACATCATTTGAAGATAGATCAGTCTAAAAGTCATGCTCAGTTGACTTAATTGTGATTTTATGGGTGTACTGCAGTTATCAGTGTGACCATGGACATTAGAAAAAAAAAGGTCACCAAAAAAAGCAGGTGGCCAGGATGAGTACAAAACAACAGTTTCTGGTGACTGGTCTTACAAAACTGAATAAGGCTGTTCAGTACATTTCCAACTCTTCTATTATTTTTAAAACAAAAATTTGCACCCCTGTTTTACAAACTGCTACATGACTCAAGTCCAATAAAAATACATTTTGGAACTCCAAACAACAGCCGGCCTTTAAAAGAAGTGTTGAGAAAGTGCTTCTGCACTACAGCATTGCATGTGTCTTTTTAACATATTCAAAAAAGCAAAGCTTTGTTTGCCTGTGAACTCCAGAGTATATTGTGGCTTGTGAACGTAGTGTATCCCCTGGTTCTGAGAGCATAAAATAGAAAAATGATGAATAAGGTCAAGAGAGGGAGTGAGCAAGTGATTGAAAGGATGTGCAAGAGAGACTGAAAGAGAGGGAGACAGACAGAAAGAAATATGCACAAAAGATGATGAGAAAGAGTGGGAATGGAAGTGAGTGAAGAGAGGAAGGGGGGGTAGAGACATGGAGAGAAAGAAGAGAAAGAAAGAGAGCAGAGACAGCGAGAGAGGGAGACAGAAAGAAAGAGAGAGAGGCCTCGAGTAAGTAGCTTTCTCCTGGTTATTGGTTTCAGTGACTGGTCAAAACTATTCTTCTCCATTCTTCTTGTCTCTCTCTCGCCAGCACCTTTTTTTCCCCCTCCGTGGTGTGAAAGATAAAGCGGACGGGCCCAACTGTGTGGCTGGCCCTTGTTCACAGCAGTGGCCTTTTGAAGCCAATTTTCCAGCTCACGGAGCAGAGAAAGACAGGGAGAGACGGGTAGAGAGAGACGGAGGGACTCGGAGGAGAGTCGAGGGATGAAGGGATGAGGGGTGTTGGAGGGGGGGCGGGGGATGGCACTGGGAAGTTTTAGGTGTGTGAATTAGGGTTAGTGTTGAGGTACTGATGTGAGAAAATGCACAGGCACAGCAGGATTACTACCCAAAATATTCCTCACACCTTAACTGTCATAATTGGTACCACTGAACATAATTGTAGTAGGAAGGGAACATTATTCACTAGACCCGAAACTGTAGCAGCAGTGCTTCCTGTGTGATTTTTACAAAGCAGTGGAGCTTGGGAGTAATTCTGCACTTTAGATTCCACACCCGACCCTTTCATGGTCCAAATTATGATTGCATTGCATTGCTGAAAATGTTGTTTCTGATGTACATGCTTTAACTCGCACATTAAGACTGCAGCTTTTTATATTTTAGGGGCAAAATGAGTCATTTTACACTGTTGATTTAGCTTCTAATACACTCTTAATCAAAGTGTTCTAGCAGTTGTGGAGGAGATGAAGTACAGATTAAATGATTCAATTTGCATGTGCAGTCCTATATTCTTCCTATACAACTTATTTCATTTGAGGTTGTCTTTCTGTTTAGGTTTTTCTTCAAACGCCATGCGGCACAGTGCTAAAGTTAATAATTAAAAGACAACAGAAATCACACAAATGCAGATCAAACGACTGCAGAGAAACTGTTTGGTGACAGATAACAGGATAGTCAAAAAAAACAAACAAAAAAAGTATGTTTGCAAACATAGACACACACATATACAACCACAAAAATCAAATACGACTAAAAAAGCAAGAAAACATTCATCTGGTTTTTTTCTTTTCAATAAGATTATTAAATTCCAGGAAATGGTTTGTGTGTGTGTTTGTTGGTTGGGGTGGGGGGATGGGGGGGTTAAGGGAGGGAAGCATGAAGGAAGGATAATTAAAAATGTTAACTGGCTGCATAAAAACGAACTATGTATGTGTTTTTCTCTCCTTCCCACCCTCCACCCCCCGCGTGCCGTGGCTCCACTTATCAGCATGAGGAGGGGGGGGCATACGAATTAAGACCACATAGGGAAAGAAATCAGACTTTTTTAAATGCCGAGAGACTGGCTAGAAAATTGGCTTAGTGCGGCAGATAGCAAACTGAACAAAAGGAACATATATATGAGCTTGAAGTGATTGAAGTAGCTGGCGTCTCCCGATGTGTGCCCGGCGTTTGATTCCCGCCACGGCTCTTACATAAACTGCTCGCTTAATTTCACACCGCGCATCTGAAAAATGACAACAAACGCTTTCATTAGAGCGCGATGCCGCAGCCCCACGAAGAGACTTTAATGTTCTTGAAGCGTGGAGGAAGGAAGGAGGAGAAAGAGGAGAGGAGGACGGGGGGGTTGAAGGAGACAGAGAGAATAAACTAGGTGAAGGAGTGTGATAAATGTGGAGAGCATTCCAAAAACAACAAGCGGAAAAAGCAGCGAACAACATCTGCTTTGCTTATTTCAATATTCAAGTGCCCCCCTAGCTCCCATCCCTCCCTCATTCTGCTGCGTGAATTTGTTTTCCTAGCATGCAATTGGTAACGCTCATCTTTCCTCCCTCTCACAGACTCTCTCCCTTCTCTCCCTGGTGTGGTGAATATTTTGCATATGCTTACCGTGGTACACGGTATGAGGAGTAGAGTTAAGCCCGGTTCGGTAATTTGGGATCTTTCATCTGCTTTCGGCACAAGGCCAATTCTACGTTGACACAGAATCGGGTCATGGGTAGGGTTTTGCCAGAGGCCATGAGGATGTGTGTCTAAGCATATGTGTGTGTGTGGATGTGTAGGCGTTCTCCTTCACGCTGTACCACAGCTTAGCTCTCCTGCCTATTTCATATGGTGATGCACGGAGGTGCAACACAGAGGTGCCACCCTTGAGGTGGTTAACACACCATCCCCAATCCCATCCACAACAACACAGGTCCCCACTCACAACAGCAGCTTTGTTGGCTTTTACACTATGTGTCCTTATTCTGTGTGTGTGTGTGTGTGTGTGTGTTTTGTGTGTGTGTGTGTGTGTGTGTGTGTGTGTGTGTGTGCCTGGGAGCGTGTGTGAGAAAGTACCTGAGTGTGTGTAAAAAATATGATTTGTTTGTCTGTTATGGTTTGTGTACTGAGTTTAAGGCTTCAAACAGCACTGAGAGGTATTAAAAAAACCTTTATGAGCACACACAATTGTTTGCTTTGTTCTGTCTTATTTCTTTACTTGTTTTGTTTACTTTACTTAATCTTTACAATTATTACTTAGGTTTAGCTTAGCTTGTTCACTCCAAAGTCTTGTGAGACACGCTTATATTGACAGCAGATTTTCAGTGTCTCAAACAAAACAACATCCACATGGCCTTCACATTATAAACTGCTGGAGGTGCAACAAGCATGCAACAAAGCAGGTGAACGGTGGTAAGTATACATCACTTGAACTGCCTTTTTTCGTTGAAAAAAAATGCAAGCCTTGTTTTTATACTTCTGTCCATCCCACACTACTACAAACTGCACCAGTGACATTTGTATATTCTTTAAATTCTAAAATGAATGGGAAATTTGGAAGAAAAGCCTCTGCTTTCCATTTGGAACGCAGGATTTTCCTCCAGTGAACAAGACACTTTTGTGTCGGGTTAAGGGTCACAACAAAGGCTTTAAGTGAAGTCAAGACATTTCAGCAATCCCTAGTTAATTCTAAATTTGTCTGTCATTCTTGTTTCTCATTCTTTTACTCACCCAGGTCAGTGTTGCTGTGGAAGCAAGCTTAGCAGCCATTTCCTGATCCTGAGAGATCTCAAGGTGTTCCCGGGTCAGATATGTAAGCATTACAGGGTCTGGGGTTTCCTTCGAGCTCGAAGTGCCAGAAATAGGTATATAATAATAGGTGTTTAGGAGCTTAGTCCCATGACTTCCAATGTGAAGAAGCAATAGTTCTAGTCCGAGCTCCATCTTAATGTGCAAATATATTGTAGATCAACTGGTAAATTTAGAGCTTTACTTTCAGCCTCAGCTTCCTGCGCACTACAACAGCTTGGTACAATACCCAAATGCCTGCTTACGTTGAACCAGTCCACCTGGTGATTTCACGTTCTGTCTTGTGAATCCCTTGTGAACAACAGTGAATTCCTTCCTTTGGGGTAGCAACTCTCCCCCAAACAAAGGGAAGTGATCCTGACGTCACCAAACAGTACACTCCTAGTTCGTGGGGAGAGGATCTGTGACAAGCCAACATTCCTCAAAAACATGCTTTAGCCAGGAACATTGACACAAGTTTCACTTCAGTAGTAGAAAAACCCCAAAGCTGGTTGCAATGGCCCTGCAAACTGATTCCCACAATAACCACACAGAAAAAGGTCTTTTTTTTCTACACAACAAAACGCACTTAGGCTGGATGGGCAAACTCCATCGACCGCTCCAGTATGCTTGCACAGGTAATGGGTTGGTCAGTGGTTCCAATCTGGGCCCCATGGGTACACAGAGTTAATTAAATTGCCTAACAATTTGAAAAGCACATTGTTTGCACTTCACAACTTTTCCCCTGTTCTTTTTTAGAAGCACAAAATTTACTGGTGCATACAGTACTGTCTTTGTGTACTGTGAAAGTCAATAATAGTTTAATCTGCCTTTAAAATCAGCAGCAACAACGCATTAATGAATATTACTCTGGTGATTGATGGTTGTCATTTACCAACTGATTTGTTGTGATTTTGTTGTGTGTGTGTGTGTGTACCTTGAGGCCTTCAGTAGGTGAGCATCTGAGCAGCACCAGGTTGTTCCTGTGCGTGTTTATGGGAGTCCAGGGCCACAGCTCCTCACCGGGCTCGTCCAGGTTCCACCAGCAGAGCGCCACGTCCTGGAGACGGTTGAGACCCACACGTCTGTGGAGCCTACGACCCCACCCACTCACGTCCACACACACCACCTGGACAGGGAAATACATACATGCCAAGTATGCCAGAGAAGGGACTCAAAATTAAGAGAGAGAGAGTAGGCTCACCTGAGGGCTCTGAAACTTCCACATCTGTATCCCCAAATATCACTCTCCTGTCCTTCCCCCACCCTGTTTTTGTTGATGTCTAAGGTTGTTTTTTATCTTCCATTATTAATGTGTGTGTGTGTGTTTTGTTCTGTCGGGCTTGTTGTTTTAGTGATGTGCATATTTTTGGGAAGGTCCGCCACGCTCTACGGGCCACAACAAAGAGACGCACAGTAATGAGCTCTCGTGGCGCTTGGGGCGGGGGGGGCACACACACTCACACAGAACACACACACACACACACACACACGAATGCATGCATGTATGCACACAAATACACATGTACATGCATGTAGAGGCACTATATATGTATATAAACATACTCCTTTATAGACACACAGACACCATTAAAGAAACAGTGCTCTATCCAGAAGCACTTTTAAAGCAGGTGGAATTGCAGGTCTTACACAGTGACCCTGGCTTTCAATGTACACCACAGCTCATTCCTTCTTAACACACACACACACACACACACACACACACACACACACACACACACACACACACACACACACACACACACACACACTGTAATCACACAGGCCTTTCATACACTCTGTATCTCCAGTCACACTCACTAACACAATGAACTAGCTACCAGAATCGATGGCTAATACACACATATTAGCGCACACACACACACACACACACACACACACACACACACACACACACACACACACACACACACACACACACACACACACACACACACACACACACACACAACCACACATGTCCATGACCTCTGTCACAGTACAGAGGAGTGACTGGGACCTGACAGAAGTGCAGGTTGTACAATTAGGAATACAGGAACATTTCTTTAGTCTATTTTTAAAAAATCAAAAACACTCCACAGTACAAAAATATGCATAAAAGACAGAAAAAAAAGAGTAAATCGACTATAAGCTATACTGTACGAGTAGAACAGATTTTATGTTCAGTGGTCCATGCCTGCCCCTCTTGCCCCCTTGGGGGGGATATTTGCTTTGGACACAAAATACAGAGGCAAATTAAAATGATGGAAGTACATCTGATGATAAAGGGAACAAAGAGTTGCCCCAAACAGCTGAACGGGAGATCACTGACAGATTAGAAATGGAAAAGAAGAAAAAAAAAAAATCTGAAATCACTGGGGTTAATAACACACTCTATCTCTCCCCCTCGCATGCCCCCTCCATCCCTCCATCCTCCCTACCCATCTCTTCCCTCTTCTGGTCTTTTTTTCTGCTGGCGTTTGCTGGTCAGCAATAATCAAAAACCACTTTCTGTGGGCCGGATTAGTTTAGGCCCCCCCTCAACGCCCCCCACTCTCCCTTCTCCAGCTTAGCCCACTGGACCAGGGCGATGTGTATGTGGTTGTGCATGTGTGTTTGTTGTGGGGGATGGGTCGTTGGGCGTGCATGTGCACGTGTGTATGTTGCAGGTTGCATGCACATGCATTGAGGGTGGTGTGGGGTGTACAATATGGGGTGGTGGTGGTGAGGGGGTGTCTTATCAGGACTCTGCTTCTGGAGACAGACGCACGGCAGGAACGATTGCTTTTATACACACCAACATGCACGCGCACACACACCCACACACACCTTGACAAAAGGCCCTGGCAGTAATGTGATAATGCCAGGGTTAGCGGTTAGCCAGCTAGTGAAGGAGGACACAGTGTAGTTTTGTTTTGGGGGAAGGAAGAACGGGATGGCACATTATCAGACCTGTTAGTAACACCTACGAAAACACCTCCAGATCAGACTGCCTCTCAATATTCACCTTTATGAGAGATTAATAGACAAAAGCAGGAAAGATGTAGAGAGTTAGAGGTGACTTGAACCAAAGGACCGGATTCCCATGGCGATTACATTGAACCTACTCGCATGTTGTGTACCTGTTGTGCACAAAAATAAAAACAGGAACTGGACAAACAATTATTTATAAATTGTATCAAGCCAAATGGACAGGATACATGGGTACCTAGGGGTAGATTGTGATAGTGGGTAGCTACCTGATTACTTGTCTCTTACAAACACTGACCTAAATGCCAGACACATTACTCACGCGTTCTACTGTACCTTGATATCAGAGGGTGAGAGTTTGTCTGTTCGTCTGCCAGTCTCGGGTGAGTCCTGGTTCTTTTGGTTGAGATAGACTGCGGCCACTTGACTTTGCTCCAGGAAGGACAGCAGAATCATCCTATCACTCAGCACCGCTGGGAATGACATCACAAATTAGTACACCTGGAAAATGTGACTGAAATGTGTTTCTAATAAAGAACAATAACGATTCACATGTTTTCTGATGCATTTCTATATTCTAAAGGCCTTTTAACCTCCAGGAACACAAGAGCACAGGAGCTCCAACAAAAGGGGAGACCTAACACACCCAGGGTGAGGATGACATTAACTTCCTTAGGACACTTAGACACATTCTGGATTCACAATCTCAGATTATTACAAGAGGGGTGGCTGAAGATTTTAGTTTAGAACTAGTTGGTTATTATAGTCGTTTTTAGTTATTTAATAAAAGGTTTTGTAGTTTTTCACAAGCAATTTTAAATAGTCATCCCAGTTTTTAAAATGACTCCTAAAGAAATTCTTATTAAAACAATTCTTATTTTCAGGTGATTGTACAGAAATGAAAACATACTTTTGGACAATATATCCCATTTCTGCCAATAGATCCTCCTCAATATTACACACTGGACCTTTAAGCTTTACTCACTCCCTCTGCTACATTACACTTATAGACTGTATTCCTTGTGAGAGTTTGTGAATCTATATGTTGCTTTCCTGATGCCTGGGAAATATCAACAAACTATTTTCTGAAACATTTCTGCACAATTCTGTTTTGATTATGATGTTTTCTAAATGCTCTTACTTCATTATATTGCAGTAACATTTATCATTATCCCTGTCCTGCTGTGTACTTTAGTTTGAGCGTGGAGGACAGACGTTTCTTTATCCATCTGCCTCTCATTTTCTCTTCCTTTCCTACCATCTCCTTTACTTCACCTAATTTTCTCTCTCCATCTCTTTCTTTTCAATGCTTCCTGTATTCTTTGTATATCTTCCCTCCCCTGTTCTCTTCTCCCTTCCCCTGTCAGTGTACTGCAGGCTCTGAGGCCTTTTTGTGGTAGAACACACTTGATCCTGTTCAACTCTTCAGGAGCTGCATGGAAACGCTGATTAGCAATTAAGCCCCCCTCTCCTTCAAATTAATCTGTTTATGAAACCAATTAAATGGAAAGGAGGGGGGGTTGTTACACATGTCTCTCAGATATCCTGCTTTGAGTTGAACGAGTAAGGCTGCACCCCGAGATTTAGAAATCTAACCGCCAATTAACCATGGTATGTGTGTATTTATAAACGTACGGGTATTGGTATGATTACACTTCAAATCATCCTGTTGTGTGAGAATTTCAAATTAATATGCAAATATTCACATGGGAAGTGAAACATTGCTTGAAAATATAGAAAAACTATCATCTTAAATCAGGTCAATTGAGTCAGTCTGTCCTTATGTTGAAGTTGGATTATAAAGCATTTGTAATGAAAACTGGTTCAAGGCTTAAACCATTACAAAATACAGCCATTAATGATGCCTTGGCTTTCCGCAACAACATTTAATGCAGTAGTAAGCGTCTTTGTAATAGATTACAGACAAATCAAGTTAAATGCAGTTTAGTATTGATCTCTATGGGTGTCTATAAACGGGATTAGGTTTAATCCCATTCCTTCCCAAATGAAGGAGGGGATATGAAACCAGGCTGCGGCCCAATCTGGGACCAGGTGGCTGATTTGGCATTAAGGGCTAGACCTTCATGACCCACCCGGACACCGCCCCCAGACACGCACACACACACACACTCACACACACACCCTGACATAGAGTATACATGTACACATTCATACTTGCCCTCTAGACATACACATGCACAGATAGCTAGATATACATTCATACATGCAAGCCTGCAACCATGGGTTTATGTATTCCTTTATGTATTCTACACACACCAACACACACGCATGCATTCACACCCACATGCATAAAACAAACCAGCCACATGTTAAAGCATGCACATGGTCTATTTCAGGTACATACACAAGACAGAAACACACACAGTCCTCTAAATCCATTTAATGCCATCTCCTCAGCAGCATGTTGACATAAGAGGCCAATGGGCTTAACCAAAGCACATTTAAACATGGGTAAATGAAACCAGCTATGAAAAATCACTTAAGGATGCTTAATCGTGGAGCATATGCGCAGCTTGGCCCAGCCATTGGTCAAAGGAAGCCAGTAATACTTTGATGGTGTAAAATATATGTAATCTGTTGCTTTGTATGATGCAATCCAGAGCTCATGGTGGAGCTCAAGGTAGCCGGCACTGAGGATGTAAAGTTTAAGAGAGGACAGTAAGCCAGCTTTGTCACATCGTGAAACAAAAAGAAGACCTGGCTGCCATTGCCTATTGTCTCAGAGAGGCAAATATGCACCAGGCCTCACATCTAGTTGAATCCATGTAAATCAGAAAGGGGATTTTCTTCAGCATTCAAATACTGAGATCCTTTTTGTTTCAGAAAACTGTCAAATCCTGTTCCGAAAATGCAAACGAATTCTCTGCCATTACACAGTGACTTACATTTTAATTGAAGATTTGAGTCGAGCTGAAACGATTAGTCGAATAATTGACTGAAAAGAAAATTAATCAGAAACTATTTTGATTTTGAAGTAAATTGCCTTTTTTTAAGAAAAGGATTTGCTGGTTGTTGTTTTTTTTATCACAAATGATAATAAATGAAACCTGGATGTGGACTGTCACATAAAACAAGGTATTTAAGAACATAACTTTTGGCTTTGTGAATCGGAGAATTGATCAGATTTAGCAGTGATTGAATATACAAATCCATAAAGACAACAAGACAATTCTACCTAGCATAAGTCACAACAACTACATTGTAATTGTAAACTGTTTCAGTAATCGTAGGGTTTTAAATGTGTTCGACGGTGTGATCTGGTCTGGCTCTCTACTCTAATTGTCTCAGGCTAATTTAACAAGTGACAGATGTGAGAACAGCCTCTAACCTACAACAACCCCCCACACACACACACACACACACACACACACACACACACACACACACACACACACACACACACACACACACACACAATCCCCGGAACCCACCCTCTCACAACCATTACTCTAATAATTAGTGCCTCTGAGGCTTTGAATGGAGCGCAGTGGGAGGTGAGTGGGTGTACGTGTACCTGGGTGTGTGTGTGTGTGTATTTGTGCGCCTCAGTATGTGCCATTGTGTATGAGGGCGTGTGCATGTGTGCCTGTAAATGTGAGTGGACATACAGTAAGTGCTTGTTGGTCTATGTAAAAAAAAAAAGGAAAAAATGCTCTGTGCGTCTGTAATTACATATGTACGCATATAAGAATGACTGTGTGTATGCTTGTATGTGTGTGTGTGTGTGTGTGTGTGTGTGTGTGTGTGTGTGTGTGTGTGTGTGTGTACTATGGGGGCTTTATCAGGTGTCTGGAGGCCCCGAACGGAAGCAGGGAGGGCGGTGTTATGAACAAATAATTGATACAGAAAGAAAGAAATAATTAGCAGATTTGGGCCGGTGTCCACGGCCTCTTATTCTCTCCTGCCAGGTCTGCAGAGCGAGGGAGCGCAGTGTGAGGGGGGCGGTACTCCCTGGAGGAACGCGCGATGGAGGAAAAACACTGATGGATGCTCTTAAGGGAAGGCCCCTGGACACACACAGCACAAAAGGATTTGCCCGCAATTAGCTAGCAGAGTCGCCTCGCTCACCTGTGGCACCTGTTATGTGTGTGAGTCGGCGTGTGTGTCAGAGAGTGTTTGCGTGACAAAGTGGCGTGGATAGTGGGGTGTGTGTGTGTGTGTGTGTGTGTGTGTGGTGGATGTCCAACTGCATGTGTGGTGAGCAGGTGTAAGCACACAGTTGGTGCTGATAGTGCGACAGAAAGAGGGTGATAGATGGTTTTGCAATTCTAAAATAATGAACATTTGAATGCAAATTTCTCTGTGTTCGTCTGTTTGTTTGTTTGTTTGTTTGTTTGTTTGTTTGGTTGTGTGTGTGTGTGTGTGTGTGTGTGTTGCGGCTGTGGGCAGAACCATGTGGTGGAAACAATGATGTTTGTGTCTTTAAATCTGCTTTCTAACCACAGTGAACCTCTGGAATATTCAAGTCACATATAAACCATAATTTCATTTAGTGAATGCAAAAACTGCAGCAATACAGGACAAAGCATTCTTTACTTCCATAATAAGAGTGATTGTTATGCAACCACTCTAATTAGCATAAGCAGGACCAAAGTAACCAAAACCACTGTGAAAAATGTCTTTAATCCAGCATTGGTACCCAGTGCATTAAAGATGAATAAATATTTCTTTGTAAAGAAATACACACATATATACATAGTGTATATTGTATACCAAAGGGAAAAAGTTCCTGAGCTCCCTAAAGGTGAATGGTAAATAACACAAAACACTTAATCATTGTTATTTACTGTGTGTTTGTGTGTCTGTAACTGACCATCAGTCACAGTGTTGGCTGGTAGTCGGCCCACTAAGGTGCGGTCTACACACACTTGTTCGAGCTGTGGTCCATTTAGGGTCAGGGTCACCAGTACTCCGCTGCTCAACATCACCTGCAAGGTACCACACACACACGGACACACAAAAAACTAACTAAAATCTTACAAGATTACAGTGGACAGAGATTCAGTAGTAAAAGTTGTTAAAACTCAAGCCTGGAAAGAAAAAGAAAAAGGAAACCACAATGGACTTTGAACAGAATGAAACTGTATGAGTTTATCAAGTTGACATCTCTCCCAGAACTCCTTAATGAGGGTTAAAAGTCAATTCTCCTGTGATCTGACCTCGTAATATTTGCAACTGTGCATTCAGTGGGTAAGTAGTAAGTGATCAAAAGCATCACCTGAGACCTCCTGATTTTCCATATTGTAATTTTGGTCAATTCTATACACATAACACCTACTGCATGTCTGTCAGTCCTGGAAGAGGAATCCCTCCCCACTTGACAAAATAAACTTGTTTTGTTTAGTTAAAGAAATGACTTTACACATCCAAAAAAGTGAGGCTTGTTTTTCCCTGGGCAAGCAACTGGATAATTAGCCAAATATTATAATTATATAACAATATAATTGTGATTACATTCTTTGAGATGTTGCTATTAGCTTGAAATGACCTGGTAACTGGTATTACAGTCCAGTGAAGCTCTTTATCTGAGACCTGGTTTGGGCGGACCATGGGAGGTTTGTTCAGCTTCTGCCACTATCTGAACCTGAAAAGAGGTAGGCAAGTGTGTGTGTGTGTGTGTGTGTGTGTGTGTGTGTGTGTGTGTGTGTGTGTGTGTGTGTGTGTGTGTGTGTGTGAGTGTAGTAGTAGGTGGTAAGCTGAGGAAGGTGGGTACCTGGCAGCAATGCTTTTTCTTCCATCTGGTGTGAACGCAGGTGTTGGTCTGCAACAGTTCCTGAATGAGAATTATAGATAAACAGAGAGATAAACAGAGAGAAACACAGTGAGAAAAATGGAACAAACAGAGGCAAACTGAGGTTCCAGCACCCAGTGTAACAAATAACCACAGTTCTGATGCTGAGAGCAACACACATCTGGGTTTAAACATGTAGTTTATCTCTGTTATTCTTCCGAACAGACTGAAAATTTAAATTTCATGTTTGGAAATGAACCGGAAAAAAGGCCAATGAATGCCGAATTTTGGTATAACATTTAAGTAAGTTTCCATCTTTCTGTAATGCCAGTGCTGCCCATACTTGCATTAATTATCTTGGTGGTACATAGTACCAGACACTTGCCCCCACAGGTGGCCACTGCTACAGTTCCTGCTCATGGAGGGGTGGGAGAGAGTTGAAAGAGGATGCAGGTAAGGACTGCTTGTGTGCATGTTAGTGTGTGTGTGTGTGTGTGTGTGTGTGTGTGTGTGTGTGTGTGTGTGTGTGTGTGTGTGTGTGTGTGTGTATGTGTGTGTGTGTAAGGTCAGTCAGTCCTGCCACATTCCAAACCCAGCTGGGGTGATTGGATGGGAGGAGAAAGGGACGGAGAAGGAGGAGGAAGGTGGGGTGTGGAGGTGAGATGGGGTGTTTCTAGTTTCAGACAATGGTTACGGGTGAGAGGAAGGAGGTGGATGGGTGGGGAGTGTGTGCATGTGTGTGCAACAGCCGCAGACAGGTTCCAGCAAACAAAGCTAGGTCTGTACTGCCACAAGTACAGAGGGGATGAGGGGGGAGGAAGAGGCGGAGGAAGAGGGGGATGAATGAGGGTAAAGGAAGGGAAGGAGGAGGAAGAGAAGGAGGGAGGGAGAGAGGGAGGAAGAGAAGGGATGAGGGGGCAGCCTGCAGCCCCCTGATCCCCTCAAATATCCCCCTTGATGACAGAGCTCGGCCAAAAGAGAGGTGATGAGAGAGGAGAGGGAGAGAGGAGAACAAACGGGAACGACAGGGAGAGGGAGAAAAGAGAGAGAATGCCCCTATTTGTTAATCAATCGGCCGTTTCGGAAAGGGAAAACTCCCGAAAATCCCCAGAGGGAGGAAGAAGACAGGGGGAGGCCGGGAAGGGTGGTGGTGGAAGGTTTAACAGAGGAGGCGGGTACCTCCAACTCCTTCAGCGAATCGCGTAGCTTCTCCGGTCGGCGGTTCCTGGGGGTCCACGAATAGCCTCGAGCTACAGAGGAAAAGCACGAAAAGAATCTAAAGATCATGTGACTTGAACTTTTAAAAAACAGACAGAGGAAAATAAGATTTTTTAAAAAGGCCCTCATGGGAATTCGGAAGAATGTGGCACCAAGAACCGGAAAGGGTAAAAGGGTTGAACTTTATATCTGGGTTGAGATCTGAGAATGAAAAGGGGTGACATGAGGAATAAAGGGTGGTGACAAGACTGTCATGTGGAATAAAGAGATGCAGGTACATTAAGCAGGCGTTCCACATTACAATGCTGAATCTATTCTTGAATATAAACAGAATAATGGTCGCGCTCATTAACTTTAGGCTCCATTATAACCACAGAGACAAATCCTAAACCACAACTGGCACGATATCTAGCTTGATAATAACTGTTCAAACCATTTATCAAGCAAATGGGTCAAACATTTTGCAGCTTCTCAAATGTTATGATTTGCTGGGTTTCTCTGTTGTCATATTGATCTAAATTGACTTCTGTTTGGTTCTAGACTAAACAAGCAAATTGAAGATGTCACCTTGAGCATTGTAAAATTGCGATTAATGCAATTTCTGTCGAAATATAGACTAAAAATAACTGAAAGATAATTAAGTAAGATAATAGTTTTATGAAATATTTTTAATTGTAGCACTAATATCAGTTCTATACTACATATTCTTCTTCTACTGTTAAAAAAAACTGAGAAGCTGCATTAATTCAACTTCCATTCTCAGAAAGTGTATAAAAGCATTTATTTATTTATTCATTTAATGTTTATTTTGTACAGTATATAGGATGAAGTAATGCTAATCACCACAACTTTATATCCTCGGCTAGTTTGCAAAGCCTTTAAAAATAAACAAGCCTGAACAAGAAAATACACACATAAGACACAGAATGATTCAACAAAATTCCCATAAAACTCAGTGACATCAGATCATTCAAGACTATATGAGTGACTTCAACTTGGGTTAAAAATGATTTCTGTCATGATCCATTTTAAGCTCTGTGGCTAAGGAGTTTCACATATTGATCCCACGAACAGCAAAAGCCCAAATGAGGATTTACGAAAAGGCACCTCAAGGTTCCCCATAGATGCACCCTGCGTTAACTGAGCCACAAACTCTGACAAGAACCAACAGGCCACCGAGCAACACGGTTATTTAGGAAATTATGGAAGAATTTAATATTACCAAATTTAATCAAATGATCAAAACTTACACCAACATTGCTTACTCTTGATACCAGTAGCTGTCACTCATTTACTTTTATGTTCAAAACCCACTCTGAAACCATTACTTACTATGTACAAACTACACTGATGTAGTTAGAAGTTTTATTTTTCTGACTACCAGATCCCCAAAGCAGCAAAAGTCTGAAGTCTGCTGCTTACAGATTGATGTAGCTTGCACCAAAGGAGTGAAATTATTTGACTGAAAGCAAAATGTCCCTTCAAAAACACACACCCACTGCTCCTTGAGGAGAAGCAAATATTTAATCGTGAGGACTTTTGCCGCTCTTGAGTTATCTCCCAAACGCAACCTCACAGTTAGCAGCACGTATCTCAACACGTACCACACCAAGGCCCTGTCATTCTAATTTCCCAGCCTTCCCTTTCCCCCTCCATCTCTAGTGGTTAAACAGAGGAAGGATATGAAAAAAAAAACAAGCTAATTGAATTTGTGCATCTGCTTCTGCCCACGCACATACATGAAGTTCAGTGGGTGAAAAAAACAGAGAAGAAGGACTGCTTTTTTCAATATGGTGCAATCACTCGCCTATCTGTTCATTTTATAGTCTCTCTTTTCATCTCTACTGAAACGAACCATTAAGGAGTGGGATTCTCTATTAAGAGCGAGTGGGAAGAGGAGGTAAACAGATGCATGCAAATGAGGGTGTGGAGGGTATGGGTGGGGAGGGGGTCAGGAGAGAGAGGAGGGAGGGGAGGGCAGGGGGATGAGTGTTCGTCTCCTGATAAGGGTGTTTGTATTCCACTACTGGGTGAAAAGCAGAGAGAGTGAGGGAGGAGAGGGAGGAAGAGAGAGTGAATAGAGGAAGTAGGACAGTTGACTGACTAGGACAGCGATTTCTGGAAGATGGTCATCCACTGGTAAGATGATTAGGGCCCCCCACACACACACACCCCAAACACACACACACACACACACACACACACACACACACACACACACACACACACACACACACACACACACACACACGGGTGGATCTGAAGAATAAAACGGTTTCACTGGCACTCACCTTCACAGAAATGGAGTTTCTCATTGTAGTAATGATGCTCCAGGGGATTGACTGAAAAAACATTACAAAAAAGCTAAATGAAGGATTTATTTGGAATTTATACAGAAAATTAAAATAGCATGGTGCACAGGGTACATGATTCTATCTATAGGATGTAGATAATGAGGAACAACAAACCAAGTTGGAGCTCAAACACCTGAGCTCCAAGAGGCCTTGTTGGCACAGTGTAACCCATGACCGTGCCTTGTGGCTTGGTCACTGTAAGCAAGAAAGTGGCCAGTCTGGTGGCCGGCTCTCTGGCAGGCAGGAACACCTCCAGGATTAGTAGTATTAATCAGATAAGGGGGTGAGGGGCCAGACAGGCCCAGACATGGGCACCTGCTCTGGGGCTGGGTGGGGAGGGCTGGAGGGGTTTTGGCTGCAGGGGACCCCCGGAGCTGCTCCAATGAGCCTGGGTCTACCTCTAGTGGGGAGATGTGGAACTACACTATAGCATTTCAATGATACTGATATCCAGAGTGACAAGACCAATCCACGAACCAATCAATGTAGTTTCGCTGATGTACACAGAATGTTGTCTATGTTTTGACATGTTACAAATGCTCATGTGAATGTCACCTAAATGTCAAAGTAAGAGCAACATCACGCACAAAGTAGAAAACGCTGCCTTCAGTTTAAAGGACCCTGAACCCATATGTTTTCTTTCTTCTTGCTAAGTGATTAGGTCCTACATGAACACACTGTTTTGAGTCAAAGTTAGAAATGTTTTTGTTACTTTACATGACAGACCCACTTTTCTTCTTTTCTCTGTTTTTCTCACTGGTTTTATAAGTGGGTGGAAGGGCTGATTTACAAAAAGGTGATATTTTGTACTTCATTGCAGTTAGAGTTAGTAGTCAGAGTTTGGCAACATATGAATCTGATGCTGGTTTTTTTTTTTAATCACCAGTGAAATTTGATCAAACCCCACCCATAGTTCTATTGAGGCAGCATATCACTTGGCTGAGCAAACACACTTTTCTTTCATTTGTTCAAGCTGAATGAAATGCCACAGTGTCCATAAAAAATATCAAACGAACAAATGTAATTTTTTTTTTTTATCCAATGTAATCTATTGTATATGTAATCGTATCATGACCTGAGCTATCGTTACACTGCTGCATGAAAATGTTGTGATACTTTTGGATAGTGATTCTGCTCCCCTGCTCTGTCTGTCCCCTCCTCCTCCCTCCACTCTGATATCAAGCCACACTTTAGTAATCCTCCAAATGAAAGGATTTGGAGCGAGAGCATCGTCTCTCCACTGAAGATTGGAATGAAAGAGAAGGCAGCTTCTCAGATGAGAGAAGGGAGAAAACCCCATGATGAGAGGGAGAGAGGAAGAGACAGGGAGACATACTGTACACAAAATAAAAAAGAACAAACTATACATGGTGAGAGAAAAAAATGAGACAAAGAGAAGGAAATCAATGAAAGAGGTAAAAACATCTGAGACAGGCACAGTAACGAAAGGAAAAACATGTAGATGGAGAGAAAGAGGCTAAAATATACTAAGAATTTGGGAGTAAAATTAGGGAGGGAAATTAAAAGAAAAAGCTATTTGACAGCAAAAGCAAAAGAGGTTTATGCACTTTAGTGAATGCATTATGCTACCAAGTGAACTCTCACAGAAATGAATGATATTACTAAAAGCTGCTCTAATCACTCTTATATTAACAATGGCTCAATCACTCAGTGAAGAGCATTTTAACATCTTTGTGCTCATTGTTTACATTTTACAACCAACAACTTTACTGTTTAGTTTTACTCTCACGGCTCTCATAAGCTCTGTTCCAACAAAAAAAGCCACAAAAAACCCCACTGCACACTGCTTGCTCAGCCGCAAACCAGACAGACAAAGTTAGCGACTGGTAGCTGGTGAACATAGTGGAGCATTTTGCTGCTAAAGAGCCAGATATTTCCCTCAGGAGACCAAAACAGATCTAAAAAAGAGAGCGAATATTGGACACAAACAGGACTCCAAAAGATAGCTAGTGTTTTTCTGTGTATGCTAGATGTGTAAATACTGGTTGCTAACATGTTCGTCATATTAACTCAAAAGGGTGATAATATGTTGTTATGTGTTTAGAGCTTGTTATATTGTACTAGTGTGGCCAAAAAGAGAAAAATTGAATTGATCCATGTTCAATAAATGTTAAATGAAACGAGGGATTTTTACAAACATCTTATTGATATTCAAAGAAAGAAAAAAAATAAAGAAAGATAAACTATTAATTAATTAACTATGAGCTGAAAATATTTTAAAACAAAGACAAGGCGCAACACACACAGTATTGTTTGTAATGGATGAAGTCATGACATTTTCCAAAGGAAAAGAAGGAGCAGCAGCGCACTTTTGATAATTTGAACTGTAATGTATATTTTCATTATATACCAGGATACGATATCAATAGCAGAAGGGCTAAATAGTGAAGAAATATAGTTCTTGCTCTGGTGTTACAAAAGGTCAGTTAAATCATACTAGTGTGCGGTATGTGCTGGTATTAACAGTGTGCACTGATAGTGTGAAATACTCATTACATACTGTAAAAAAACTGCAAAATGTACAAACAGTTTGGACAAAGTCACCTTATACTGAGCTATAATTGTGGAGTAATTGTGAAAATGGTTGACTTTCTGGAAATAGATACAAACCTATTCAGAGGTGTCAAATATTTAAGGTGTGAACAATGTGATCAATTATGTGTAGCAACCCTCCTCAGGCCACTTGGTGTAAATGTTATAATGATGGCAAGATGCATAATTTTCATAAAAAAATTGAATACACACACACAAAAAAAAAAAAAGGAAGGAAGAGACAGCTCGTCCCTACACTGCTAGGACCGCGGGGGAGCAATTTGAGCGCTTCCTGATGGTAAGGGAAGCCTCCTGGCCTGAGGCAATATGAGGCAGGACTACATGGGGCCTCTTGCTATGTGATCTAGGAGAAAGTCAACAGTTTAGTTTTCCTATCGCTGTGTGGCAGGACCCCGGGTCAACAGGAACGCAGGGAGTGAAAGAGATAGAACCACGGTGGCCTAATAACCTGTGTGCATGTGTGTGTGTGTGGTACGTGCATGTGTATATAAGGTTTTAGGGTGTAAATCCTACATACTAATAGCCTCTGTGTGTGTGTGTGGCTAACAGGTGTAAGACACTGAAACATGCAGGACCAATAATTTGTGTGTGTGTGTTGACAGCTTATGTGAGCATGGGAGGCAGTGAAAAACCCTTCTTCATATATAAGGAAATCACATACATTCCAAAAACAAGACAAATGCAACTTATCTTAAACACAAACAGACATCCAATATAAACACTATTTACCTGGCTCTCCTTTATCGTAGTACTGATAGGTGCCAATATCTGTATCTGTGGGGCGAGAGAGAGAGATACACAGAGAGAGAGAGAGAGATGAACATCTAGCTGTCAGGGAAAAGCAGAAGACAGATCAGCAATTTCGCACCATGGGATAAACAATCGCTATCAGCTAGTGGCCTGTCCCGTCTGCCAGCACCACGGTTTGAGCTGAGATAAGGCCCTGTGAGGGAGGAGGAGATGGGAGGGTGGGCTGGGGGGGTCCGAGGCAGAGTGGAGCGGGGGAAAAGAGGGGTATTAATAAAGACAGGAGTGTGCCTTAACCTATTCCACCTGAGGGACAGACTCTGATTTACACACATGCAACATATACATTTAAAAGTAGACACACGGACTCAGCAGATGGCTGCAAAAACATATGACTAACATACACATAGCAGGCACACAAACACATATTATGATGGACAGATACACACACACATAAACACACACACACTCACACACACACACAAACTGCTGAGCTGAGCCTTTTTTTGTCAGTGTTATTCCTGCAGGCCCAAAACCATAAGCAGCAAGACTCGGATTCGCACAACACATCGTTTCTTTATCGCTCCACTACTGTTGCTGCCACTGCTGCTGCTCCTGAGGCCAGGTCACACTAATACAACAGGAGAGCTGATGGCAGACACACAAACACACACAGACAGAACACTATTACTAGTAATGGCTTGATGTCACTTTTTCAATCCTGACAGGGATAGTGATACTATAACCTTGAGTATCTGCCAATGCCAACCTGACTTTTTTCTATTAAACAATAACTGAGGTGTTCTTAAAACATTCGTATGAAAGCACTTAAACCTGCATAAAGAAATGTTTTTGGAATTAACATTAAATCAAATGACTGTGTAATTTTAAGATTCACTTGTAGTGTCAGACTTCCTGGGAATCAACATCCAACTCTGTTCTACACATTTAGCCAATTGTTTCACCCCTAACAATACGGAACCGTTATCAAGAAGCAATATCAGATACTGTATACTGCACACTAAACTTACACAGCAAGAAATAGCAGAGGTAAGGTAACTGGTGAAGGCAGCCGAGCATCTAACAAGCTAAAGAACCACATATTTCTCAGGAATTTTGTGGACCAAACCTAGACCTACATGCTCATATTGATCTTTGTCTGCTGGCTATGTAAGTAGGCAATGGCAGCACATAACACCTTTTATTTCCAGCATGTTGCTCAAAGTGTGGCTACAATCATTTGCATGCTGTTTCAGTTTGTGTGATACCAGACTTAAGTATATTTGTGGAACATCTATGGACAGAAATTGTTTCTTAAAAGGTCCCTTCCAGACATGTTTTAATAATTTCTCTGATTTTATGTCTAACATTTGACTTATGTATCTAATATGTCTGTTTTTTCTATATGATATTTAATTACATAATTAAAAATCTATATCTACTCCTCTCCAATTTAAAAAATCTGAATCTATGAATATGCAAACTATTATGACTTTAAAAAAAAAAAACTTCTAGAGTCTACAAGATGGCTCCTACTTCACTCAAGTCCATTCTCAGTGTATGTGCACAGGAGGTTTCAAACTTCCATATCACACTTGTTTGGATGTCACATGCATCATCACAAATGATGCTTGCACATGCACATCTTCAACTCAGATTTAAGGTAAACTCAGGGAAACTTTCCTCCTTCAGCAGATGGATGTGAAAACAGCTTTCTAGTATCAAAATCATTCTGCAAACTGAATGTCAAACATCCAAATCAAATGTTGGTCCACATAAGAACACAGGTGCAAGATTAAAAACTTGGTTTCATAACATCACAGTAAGCAACAACAAACTACAGGTTAGAGAAACAGGACGAATAGGTCACTTGGTCAAATCTGAATCTTCATTTAAAATCTGGGTCAGTATAATGAATGAATAACTCTTTCCTATACTACAGTGACTTCTGTTGAGGACTCCTTACGCAAAGCAACTAAGTCACTCATTGTGATGTTGCTCGGTCGCCAATCGCAGAAGGCTGTGAGAGATCTCTGCTGTTGTGCACAGCTGTACAAACGTGATTAACACGTGTAGAACATGCTCCCAAACCACACGGAACATATTTGTTTCAATGCATTGTACAGCAGATGTGGCTTTTATGAATCTATACTTTTGTTTTTGGGGCGGATGTATACGATGTAAAGAAAGTGGTGATAGGGAGAGTCACACCCCAGTGACCAGGTCTTTTCGCTCAGATGTATCCATCCACATTTTTCCAAGATAGCAGAAGACACACACAGCAGGAAAAAACAAACAAATAAGGATATGTCACCATCACCTAGGATATACACCCTGTCGTACCTTTGTGAATACACATAAACGCACACACATACACACAGTCAGGCTCGGAGAGACACTATCTTCGTCTAAAGCTCAGCAGACTGTGAAAGACAAGACAGAATGGAAGGGAGGAGAAAACAAGAAAATGGAGAAACAGAGCATTTCCGTCTAACAGAAGAGATGCACTGATAGGTGGCGAGCAGAAAAACGTACATAAACTAACAGAAAAGTCAAACTTACACAACACACACTCTGCCTCACAAACAAGCATTGGTCGCAAGTTAATGTTTCTTAACGCATGCATGATGGTGATGTGCAGTTGATTTAACATAACAGATCTATGTGCACTTTATGACAATTTCTCTCAAAATAGTGTGCATATAACACTGTACATCTGCAAAGCGGACAAAAAAGTGCTTCTCAGAAATTATTATCAAATATGAAATGTGTCCTTGTAAAGGGGAACTCCACCAACTACTACTGCATTATGTTAAAAAAACAACTTTGTGGCTCCAGAGGAAGCTGCGCAAAATCTGATAAATTGCCTCAAGTGACGTTACTTGAGTCAGCGTCGGCTGGGTCTGAAGACTACAGGTTTGAAATTGACAAAAAACAGACCTCTGCAGCCTTCTCTTCAAAAATCTTCAGATTCAATGTAACTAACAAATATAAAACATTTTCCCAGTACGAACCACAATCAGCTAACTGGCTGTGTGATGTAATAGCAATCTCACCATGCGAGTAAAGCTTCGATCTGACAAATGTGGAATGGAGTCAACATGTGTTTGGTCTCAGAAAACATACAGATGTTTCATAGGTTTCTTGAGTTGCTTGTGGTCATGCTAAGCAATCACACTTTAAACAATGTAAAAATACAGGTTAATATTGTAAAAACATCATAAAGAATGTGTAATGCAATAAAAAGACATGCATAGCAAAGAGGAAAGTTAAAAAAGACAAAGTGAGAATTGGTTCTGAGTCAGAGTCAGATTGATAAAGGGTGTAGGCGTGTAGGTAAGGTGGGGAGAAGGTGTGAAAACAAAGTGAGTGATGACAGAAAGAGCCAGAGCAAGACAGAGTGAGGGGTAAAAGAGAAAGGAGGCAGGGAGAGAATTATTGAGAGTGCGAGATTGAACATGGTGATAAGTGCTACCTTTGACTTGGAGTGAGCTCTTGGTGGACCACAAGTGCAACTCAGCCAGGCAGAACGCCATCTGACGGGGGAGTGTAACCCGAGTCTGCAGACAGGGACAAGTGAGAGAGGGAACAAATGAAAGAAGGAAAAAGAGACAGGGCAGACCAAACACAACCACAGATGTATATCTTGACAAGACAACATAATAGATTGACATAAATAGGCCTGAGGGTCAAACAAAGCATGCACGTAGGCACACATGCTCACATACACACAAACTTGAATGAAAGCCAGGTACTACCTGACGATCATGAAGCTAGACTGGCAAAATCAGTAATTTTCTATGTTTAAGTATAGAAGATATGACAAAGCAGTGTGATAATGGTGTACAGGGAAAATATCAAGAAATGACCAGGTCATGTGAACACAAAGGTATCTAATGACAACAGAGCACACTGACAATGTGAACAAACCGGACACATTTATCAATAGAACAGAAAGTTTACTGTTTCCCGTTTTATTTTTGGATTTCTTTTTCAAGTTCAGGGATAATTCTTAATTAACTCATTGTTACTTTGTACATTGTTGAACTCAATTTTTATTTTCAGTCTTTTTTTCATGGTGGTGGTAGTAGCACTCATGAGAGCAGTAGCAGTGGAGTATTAGTAGTAAAAGTAACAGTAGTAGTAATTGTATTTGTAGTAGTTAGTAGCTATAGCAGTCATGAGCTTTCCTTAAAAATGACAATGGTACTGCAACATAATACTCTTCTGTAGTACCACTTCCTGTACCTGTTCTACCTGTATTACTAGTAAGCTGGGATAATAGTAGTCGGTTACTCTACAGGTATGAATGCACACACCAAAGAAACTCATTAAAAACAATGTAACAGACGGACAGACAGACAGACAGACAGACAGACAGACAGACAGACAGGCCCATGAACTCAGACTGACACTGTGAAGGTCACAGGCGGCGATGCTCGCACCTTCACTCGCACGGGTGAGCTGTGATGGACACACACTTCGGAGCCGACAGCTAAGACAAAGCAGGCAGCATTCCATACTTTAGGTAAAGAACATAGGACAGGTCTATGACAGGCGCTGGCTATCCCTCCTTCTCATTACAGACTTTATCCAGTCAATTAACTTCTGCTAATGGAGGGTTAAGCTGTTGCTTTCTTCTGGTCCTCTCTGTGGGGTTTCCCCTGTAGTATTGATGGTTTGATATCGTATTTTACAGGTGTATTGGTTCTGTCTGTGTGAGCAGTGTACCGACTGCGTTTTGAACCACTTATGATGTTTCAGTGATCAAAAGAATTTCCTACTGTGGAATCAATTAAATATCAATCACAACTGCAACTACTTCTAGCGCAGATACTATGTTAACACTACTAGCAGTACACATTTTATCATATATGTATTTCTTCTTCAGTATAACACAATATAGTATGTTACTGAAGTGTGATCAGGATGGTGTGACAATGAAGAATTTTTGATCTGTCCAGAAGACTGACAATTGTTTTCCTTAAGGAAACTGCTACCATGACCCCTACATTACTGACAATACATTTTAAAATAAATGTTTTTTAAATAGATATTTGTATTGAAGAATAGTGCGTGTCAAAAAATTTAATATTATCTGGCTTGCTATGTCTTAAGTTGTTGCACTTCCTTGATGTTTGGCTGTGTTAGTTGTCAACTAGCTAGTTCTTGATCACTACTAATTCAATTATAACAAATGCATGTGTACCGCTGTCTTTATATTGCACTCTGAAATACCAACTCTTACACAGTGTTGCTTTAAAAAGGTCCAGCGTGTAGAATTTAGTGGCATTTAATGGCAGTTCAACATGGCGGCCTCCACGGGGCCACCTGTGGTGTTTGGAAATAAAAACGGCTCATTCTAAGGTAACAAAAACACAACAAGTCTTATTTCCAGGTGATTACACCCTTATAAAAACATACTTAATATTATATATAATTTCTGTCACTAGATCCTCCTAAATGTTACACACAGGACATTCAAGGTCAGTTTTTTTTGTTAAGTTTACTGTTTATAGTAGTTTTAATAGTATTTTATCTTTTTAATGTCCCTACATTCAATCTGAAATTATACAGAGGTCTGCCTAGCATGTCTTAGATCCCATATACTTTGAACAGCTGAGTTTAGGATAATTTCACCATCAACATTAAACTTATTTAGTCTTAAAACTACATTCACAAAGAAGGTTTTCATACATTTGTCTGATTCTGGGAAAACAGAATTATATTTCCCAAAAACCAGCCCTTTGGATCTTCCAAGCGTACAAGACTCGGTGTGAATTACAGGCCAGTGCAAAATCTCTGTATAGTGTAGCAAAGGTGTAGCAGTATTGCTGCATCGGACATTCATTTCTCTATCTGTGCAGCTAATGCTCTGCGTCTGTCCATCCTCTCTCTAACTCGCTCTCTTATTTTCTCTCGTTAACGCTGAGAGGGGACTCTCTCTTATCTTTCCCCTCTTGCACCTCCTGGTGTGGGGGAAAAAAAAATCTCATTTTGCCACTCAACCTCCAAAACTACAAGTCCCAACAAAAATACACATAGATAACACCGGGTGCCATGGAAACGCTGGGGCTAGCATGGCACAGCAGCGACGGCGTAACGAGTTTACTGACATAAGAGGATTCTTTTATCCTCTCCTAACCAGCTTTTTTAGAGGAAGTCAGCCCTTTTGGAGGGAAAACCTCATTTCAGACAGCTTTTATTTAGTTATTGCCAGTCTGGCTAACCTAAAAGTTCTTGAGACCTTGTTCTGCACAGATGCCGGGGTCTCAAGGAATTTACTGCAGAATAGAGGAACAAGGGGGGGCGACATAGATACAGAAAATGTGGGAGCAAATTGGTTGAGTGTGTGTTGGACAAGAATGATGTGTGAGTTCATGAGCTCCGTGGCCCTATGTATCAGGACAGGCAATACAGAGAGACAATAACAAAGGACAGAGAGAGGGTTTGTTTGGGACTAGGCATTGGTTTTTTTTTAGGATTCTAGTTTTTATTTTCAGTTCAGGTTTAAGGTACATGACATAATTTCCAATTCAAAATAAGCAAGACATTCACTTGTTGCCAAATGTTACACAGCGAGATAGAAGTAAAAAGGAAGGAGAGACAAGATACTCTCCATGTATACTGAGGTAAATGGTAACTCAAGATCAGTCCGTTTACAGTGGCTGTCATCATTCTATGCCGATACATCAGCATGTTTGTCTGATGACACTCTTTCTACACAAACACGCCAAGAAAAACATATCACTCTAGTACTTGCTTTAACTTCACTGGTGAAATTAATTTGGCTCCCCCCAATGTACATTTCCAACTTGCAATCCAACCAGAGCTCTCAGTGTTGGTCTGGTACAGCGGTTTATAGTTATTTTGGTCCTGTTCTCTGAAACAACCTGGCTTATGACCGGAGATACACATTTAAAAAGTAAATGGAAAAACCTTTTTTTCTTAGACTTGTGATTAGGTTATGTTTAATACACACTACTTTGGGGACTGGGCGGTGGATGTAGTGTTTATTAACTGTTTTTTTCTGGTTGGGTGTATTTTATTCTCTTTTGTTATTGTTGCATTTTTGGGCTATGTCATATCATATCATGCCATGCCCTCATTGATCAACTCTGCAAAACCAGAGGTAACACCCAGAGAAGAGTATTACTTCAACAATTTGCTTTTGATAGACTTGCTTTTTAAAGAAGGCAGGCAAACCAATTTCTTGCTCTTCTTGTTCATATGGAAGCATGTGTATACATGGACACAATGACACACCTTACTATCCACACAGACTGAGGTAATTGAGAGCTGTGATTTTTAAATATTGATGAGTAAAATAAAATAAAAATTAAAATAATATAATAATAATAATAATAATAATATAATAATAATAATAATAATAATAATAATAATAATAATAATAATATAGTAACAAAACTGGTATAGTAACCACACTTGTAAGGTTTAATGCACACACAAACTCCACCCACTGACATACAGTACACACAATCAGGAACAGCAACACACACACACACACACACACACACACACACACACACACACACACACACACACACACACACACACACACACACACACACACACACACACACACACACACACACACACACACACACAGCATGCTGCACAGTTCCTGGACAGCTGCCACACTCATACTGACTTCTGGTTGGGGTTGCCGTGGGTTACCTGTCCCCCCGCAGCGCTTTGTGGGGGGGTACAGTTAGTGTACAGAGGGCTGTGTGAGGGGTGAGGGGGGGTCTAGGTTATTGTACCCTGTCTTTACACTAGTAAAGAGGCTGCTTTAACATCAAAGGAGGGGAGGGAAAACATACGACTCCTTTTTCAAAGACAGTCCACAGGAACTACGACCTTGTCTGCTCTTTGCATCTCTTTCTCTGCTCTTCTTTCACTGTCCCCTCTGGGTGGTTACAGAGTGTGAGAGCATGTGAGGGTGTGTATATCTGTGCAAAGGTGAGCAGGAGCTACAGAAAAGTGTCTTTGTATGAGTGTACTTGGAGGTGTGTGTTAGTGCCAGAGACAGAAAGAGAAAGAGAAAGACGAAGACAGAACTTTAAGTAAATATTTATTTGAGACTGGTTCTCTCAGAGTAAAAGAGAGAAACAAAGGAAGCCTTTGTTATATCTGGACCGCAGTCCTGCCTCATCTCTCACTATTTCTCACTCTCAACCGCCACCACCCGAACAGTCATTTATCAGAATCTAATAGATGGCACAAACATCGTTCTTGGTTGAATCTGACTGACTGGCCTTTCTAACACATCGTTCTTTCATATCCTGTGCCTGGTGGAGGAATGATGTCCTGACCTTCCTAAAATATACAGAATACACCATCTGAACACTAAAAAGCATGCAGGACGGCTTCCACATCAGAACTGTCTTTTTGGATCATCAGAAAATATTTTAATTTACCTTTAAAACAAAGCTATGCTGACTTTTAAAAAGTTAATTTATTTGGTAGCACTGTGAGTGTCTTTGATTTCACTGGGTCCTGAGAAACCTTACAGGTTATCTTGAGAGATATGACGACATGATGCAAAAATAGAGACAGTAATAGAGTTGGTGGGTTTAAGCACAATACGGCCTAAACATGTTTGATATACCTATCTAGTGTTGTGGGGGTGCCATCAATCGGTAAGAAAAAACTGTAAAGTTAAAGCCGATGCCATAGGGATCTATGACATGAATTGTGTTAATCCCTTACATCAAGCATAAATGGCTTTAGTGGTGGTGTTGTTCTGGATGGTATGATATTGAGGTGTTTATCATATTCTGTGGCCTTTGTGCAGGTAAATGGGGGTGGGATAAATGTTATAGAACCTATAAAAATATTATTCTGGATCAGATGGGTTAAGACCCTGCAGAGCAGCATGTTGCACGTACTACAATCATAAAATGGCAAACACATTATCTTTCTTGATGTCTTTGAATGTAAAACTCATCACTTCTTGTGTGCCGTCAAGGTTTCAAGCCTCATCGACCAGTGACCAAGATTACTGTAACTGAGATAACTTTGGGGTACTTACAGTAGTGTAGTTTATGTTGCAACAGATGTCAGGTCCTAAACAAATGTGTTCAGATTTGGCGATCACCCCAGGGCCTATTAGGACCTCGGTCTGGATCTGGAGCGCCACTGTAACAAGAGAGAGACAGGCCTGAAATGAAGGCTGGCTCACAGACATTTTGTTTGACATCTCAAGAGTTTTTCTCTCTCTCTCTCTCTCTCTCTCTCTCTCTCTCTCTCTCTCTCTCTCTCTCTCTCTCTCTCTCTCTCTCTCTCTCTCTCTCTCTCTCTCTCTCTCTCTCTCTCTCTCTCTCTCTCTCTCGGCAGTGCTGTCAACTGGTGCAGTGGTCCCATCACCGTGAGAAGAGTGATGTAGTAAATTACAGGGTTAAAGAGCTGCCATAGGGTGACTGACACAAGGCCATCACAGAATTGCCTCATTCCCCCACCCCCCAGTACACACACACACACACACACACACACACACACACACACACACACACACACACACACACACACACACGCACAGAGTTACTTTTGGCTCTGTATAGGTTTGTCTGTCTTTCTCCTTCCCTTTTTCTTTTCTCTTTTTTTCCTCATGTACCTTCACTTATCAACCCTCTGCCTACTTGTCCCTTGCCTTTTATCATTTTTTTCCCGCTCTTCTTGTCTCCCATGTTTTTCTGAGGTACCTCCTATTAGAAATGCATTAAGCTTTCTGACCCTGTCTGCAAGCTTTCACTCACTTTCTGGCAATTTTTACTCTCCTCATTCTTTGTCTTCTCTCTCAAAGGACAGTATTTCAGGGCGTCTGATTTTTTTCTTTCTCTCTAGCAGTTTTAACTCTACTCTTTATTGTCTCATCTCTCTCAAAGGACAAAGTTTCACATTTTCCACAACCTTTATCTCTCGCAGACGCTCTGTCTCTCAGCTGCTGCCTGGTCTTGTTTTGGCTCTTGGAGAGAAACTTCGCAAACATGACGAACATAGAAAGAGCGACCAGAAAGTACATCCACAGAGAGAGATAGGTAGGTAACAGAGTGTAATTGTGAGTGTATGAGCACATATTTTCCGATGAGGTGCCTCAGAGTTTCTGCCAAGTCTCAGTCACACTTCTTCAATACATACACTCATGTATTCAGTAAACATACTCAGCCACTCAAGTCAGTGCTATATTGCATACACTCCAATCTCTCAAACTTCTGATATCTGAACTCATACGGCACACAAACACATACGCATGCATGGAAAGGCATATACAGTATGATGCATGCTCTCCTATCTTTTAACCTTGTGATACCTGAGGGAATGTACACATGCACACATTTACATACATATGAAACCATGCACACAGACTCACACAAGCTCTTATCTTCAGTATATTCTTGAGGGAAAAGTCCTCAAGCTTCCAGTGTCATATCGGAGCAAAAAAAAGGTGGACAAAATCTGAAAACAACATGCCTCTGAAGAAACAGTGAGATAATGAGAAGTGAAAAACGGATAAAACAAAGAATCCAATCCCTGAAAGGAGTCTAATGTACATCATGGGAAGACTGTGACCACTGAGACAACAGATAAGAGGGTGTTTGTGGTAGAAATGAGACTTGTGCAAACTCATAACACATAACAAATTCATAATAATGGTCACTTCTAATACACTGCAACCCTAATATGTGCTTCAATCAAGCAAGGAGCCAGAGCATATGAGCGGAGTGGAGCGGGGAGCGGAAGGATTTTGTGTTGAGCGAGGAGCGGCAATTTTTTTGAAAGGTGGAGCAGAGCCTTATCTCTCGCTTCAATTTCGCTCCGGTCGCTCATGCCCCACCCAGAATGCATCTTTGCACCTGCGCGCACACCCACACTATTTTCTTTTGTTTAATGTGTACTTCAGAAAAGAAACTGAGAAGTCATACAAGTGTACTATTCCTGTAAAAGTAACAGATGGGGATAATGTGTAACAAGAAAAAGAATGCGGCAACATTGTTGCAGTCGGTAAAGAGGCGTTTTGGAATCTAAAAAGACACATTTCTCAGAAACACGGCACTCTACTACAGGAACACACTGCGAAATCAAAAGGTGAGCTAGTCTTTTATTTGTGAATAGAAGATTGCAGGTGAGGGTTGTACGATGCAGGGTTTTTTTTGAGCCGAGTGGTGAGCTAGTGGAGCGGATAAAATTTATGATGGAGTGGAGCGGAGCGGAGAATGCGCAGAACCAGGCGGAGCTGACGAGTGGCGCAAATTGACAGGTCTGTGAGCGAGGAGTGGAAATTTTCACCCGGTCCGCTCCGTTCACATGCTCTGCAAGGAGCCTTAATAATGTCAATTAGTGCAACGCAAAAACATTTATGACCAGTTATTAATGGATTTTGTCACTCCTATTATTGTGCTTTGTCTTACTACTATCTGGGAGATAATCATGCTTTAAGTTTTTGAACTACAGTCCCCTGATGCGTTGAGCTTGCAAACAGGAAGTATGATATTGCCATGGATAGAGTTAGTTATGTTGTGGGCTACAACCTGAGCCGCATCTTTTTAGTCTATATACTTGTTCACATTGTAGAAAATTGGCACTGTTAAAAGTCTGCGTAATTAGTTATTAACACTTCCTGTTTGCAACATATCAATGGATGTACAAACAACTGTCACTGGATTAATTTGATACTGAAGAAAACTTATAAATGTGATCATTCTTAGGCAGGTTCTGGAGTTATAAAGGAGCTTTTAAGCTTTCTAAGCTAATTCATGGACAGCTGACGTATGACTCCAAGAAGGAGTGCAAAACTGCAGCTATTGGCAGTCCAAATCAGTGGGCTAAATTACCATAACTAACATCCCATTGTTTTCAGGTCACCAGCATGAACCAGTCCATTTCAGCTCACACAGTATCTTTGCCTCACCTCTCCCTCCACACCTCCTATGTTAAATCTGAAAGGATGCAGATAAAAGGTCCCATAAAATGCAGTTAGTCAGTGAGAAGCTCCAGAACAAGATATCTCTCTCTACTGGTGACACTGGCCAACAACACAGAAGTTGCAATAGAGGTTGTTAGAAGTTGTTTTTGACATTGATCAAACAAACGTGTCGATTAGAGTCCATACGGTTCATACGGCCACATCAATCTAATCCAAGCTTGTCAACTTTTTTCTATCCCTATTTTACATGAATGTAGCAAGATAGCGAGCTAGGTAGATGTTCTCATTCTTAATGCCGCCTACTGAGCTCTGATAGGTCAAGTGTATCTCCAACTGGAGAAATAGCCAACAATGGACACAAAATCAGACCTGCTACACTGTTCTGTTGTGGAGTGTAATAAACATTGTAGTCTCTAGGGGTCACCAGTGGGGCTTACGAGTTCCAGTCAAGCTTTATTCTTCTCCATCACTGCTGTCTATCCCTCAGTCACTCTGCTTCAGTGGTTTTGTTGAGGACCTAAGGCGTTACAGAACTCAGCCCACTGAGAAGAGAAAAAGAGGAGACGAACTGAAAACTACAGAGACTACACTCTACACAGAGTGAAAGTGCTGTGAGGCCTGGCGGCAGTGTACACACTTACCCACACACAACCACAGGCAAGTACAGTGCATCTTCTCAACTGTCCCATTATAAGACAGAGGTTCTGGTGGAGGAGAGAGGAGGGTGGGCAAAGTGGCGCCAGGCAGCAGGCCGAAAACCTTTCACACACACACTTAACAAAGTCCCACAGGAGCCCATTCAGCTGTCGGCAGAAGAAGAATAGAGGTGATAGACAGGCAGAACAAAATGAGGTAAAGGTAATACTATTCAAGAGAGGTGACAGGTACAGTCACTCTGTATGCATGTGCACATGTGTGCGTGTCTGAGCGTTTTACAGGACATGTCAATCAGCAGGAAAATGAAGCTGGAGTGACATGACCACAGGGCAAGTCTCTTCATTGAGTAATGTATGTGTGTGTCTCAGAATGTGTGGGTGCATGTGTGAACTGGTACAAGCTAAAGTGTGTGTTGGTCACGTGAAATACTATTCCAGGTTTGGAGGGCATGTTGAGGTGAGGAGTTGAAAAGTTCAGGTGTCCAGAGAAATATAGCAAGAGAGACTTTTTGCCCCATAATGAACAAAAAAAAAAAAGCAAAAAGCAAACTGAAAATACAAAATAAAAAAGAACTTTGGAAAAACATCTGACCATAGCATACATACAAGGGATTTACTATTACTATACACAGAGTCTACTTTTCTAGGACAAACAAGTCTGTAAGGCTGAAACTAATGATTCTTTTTGTTCATGGTTAATCTTCAGATTATTTTCTCAATTAATTGATTAATTGTTTTGTTTATAAATTTGTTTATCTAAAAATTTTACTTCCTATAGCCCAAGGTTGTGTCTTCAAGTTTCGTGTTCTATCTGAACACAAAGACTACTCAGTTTTCTATCATTTCATGACAAAGCAACAACAACATCTAACCCTCATATGTGAAAAGGTGAAATACACAATATTTGGCATTAAAAAAAATGACTACAACGATTAATCAATTAGCGAAATATTTGCAGATTACTTCACAGCAATTCATAAACTAATGGCTGACTAACCTGTGGCTCTTGAGCCCCTCTCCAGTGGCTCCCTGTGGCTTTGACAAAAAATGATTTGGAAATGAATAATGGATATTTTTTTCTACATTTTTACCGATCATTGTTATTGATGATTCTTATGTTCTCCAAATGTGTAGCCATTACACACCGTATAAAAAATGTTGTCAACTAAATATAAACTGTGGACCCACGCTTGTGTGTGCGTGTGCAACAAAGGGATGGAAAGAAAGACAGACACAGGGTGACAGAGATGAGTGGAGGCTCTTCTAAGCAGATGTGTAAACGTCATTAGAGGAGGTAATGGAGGGAGGAAGGTGGGAAGTGGGGGGAAAAAACCTACTCCAGCCGAGGTATTTACCCAACGCCTGGAGCAGAAACACAAACACACCACCAGTAATGACTGAGACTGCGAAGCAGAGAAAGAGAAAAAGAGATGTTTGGTGGTTAATATCTCCTCCAACAAATGTTCTGCCTAATGAAGAAACAAACAGCGAGAGAGAGGCCGACCACTGGCTTAATCATGCCTACTAATGTTTTAACAATTCCAAATTTCCACATTCAG